CCCCCCCCGTTTCTCCTTCAGGAGATCTCCAAGCGAGAAGATGCGAGTGGGCAGTTAAGCTGTATTCAGCTGCCTGTCGACTCGTCGGGGGTACGTACACAGCACATCCCACCGCCCACCGTGCTTGTCTCTCTCGTGGTGCCTGGTCACACGCCGTGGTGCTGTTCTCATTGTAGTAGCTGTTGTTCTTTTGGGTTTTTTTTGGGGGTGTTTTTGTTTTTTTCTTTCCTTTTTGTTGTCCTCATTGTCGAGTCAGCCTTGATTTTAAGTCCCTTCCTTCTCTGGGGCAGCCAGGTAAATTAAGGTGGGTGCTTCAGGGCAGCTGATGTGGCTCCAGCCCTGGCTCTTGCCCGACCTCTTTCTGGATGCCTGCCATCGGGAAGACTCCCCACGGGGCTGTCGCATCCCGGGGATCTCCCTAGGGCTGCGGACGGCGACGCTGATTGCTGGGCATGCCCGCCGAGCGCTCCCTCCACCACGCAGGCGCGGGAGGGTGCCCGGGAGCGAAGGGACCTGGAATCAAGCCTGTTTGTGGACACGTGTGTGGGGAGCCCCGTGCTCGGTAGGACGGGGTAGGACGGCGTCTGTGGCGTGTCCCAGAAAGGTTGGCCGGGATGCTGGGACTGTTGGCGCAATGCTGCGTTGCAGAGCTGGTCAGGGTGCGAAATGGTCCCGTTCAGGTCTGAGGAAGCCATGGATCTCCAGAGTGCAGCACGTCCCAAACCTTACTCTTCTGCCAACCTCATCTTTCTCTTTACTGCTCCCTTTCCTTTCTGTCCTTTCCGAGAAGTCTGGCTTTTCCCTTGGCACAAAAGCCTTTTCCCATGGTATCCCAGTGTGTCAGTCCTCTTCGGTACAGGCTGCTTTAGCCGTTGTACCGTATGGTCCACCCTGACATACCCTCGTTTCCCAAAAGGATTTTAACTCCCTGTTCTCTCATAACCCCTTTTCTATCCAGAAAGGCAAACTGGGAGTGCAAGAACAGGTAACGGGCAGCAGCCCCGGCTGCGAGATGCTTGCCTGCACCGTACTGAGTCTGGCACGTGTTGTTTCGGAGGGGATGCTTTCTGCCCTCCAGACGTGGGGTTTGGTGCTGGGGAAGCGGGTGGGAGGTCCCCACATAGCTCTGCTTTTCCATCTCGGCACACATCTCGTTGTGCACCCTAAAACTTTCCTTCGGGCTGTTAAAGAGCACTCCAGGAATACAAATCACAAAAAATTCTCCCTGTTATTTATTCCTTTTTAATAACCCATTAGGGAGAATGAGTAATTCCTGGCAGGCCCACTGATGGGCTGAGCTGGGAGCCTTTGCTGGGAGCGTACCTGGAGCCAGCTGGAGCCCCTGTTCATACGGAGACACGGTTTTGACTCCAGCGAAGTTCAGGCCAGCCTGACTTTACTGCTCCCCTTTGCAAGGTGCATTCCTGACCTTCCCAGTCTGCGTCCTGCAGGATGAGCTTTCCTGAATAGCACAGAAGTCCTGGATCCTCAGGAGGGGAAGTTTTGAGCCAACACTTCACATCACACTCTCCTATGCCTTAAAAACATGTGTCTGAGAGTGTCCAGTCTGCCTGGAAAAAATCCCCTTAACTGTTTAGTGACCCTATAGGGGAGTATTAGGGCTCATCCCTCTGGGGTTTTGCCGAACAAAGAGGTGCAGGGCACTGGACCTTGTGTCGGATGCCATCTCCTCCTCCAGTCCCATGCTGGGGCCCCTCTGGGTTTTTACGACTAACACGTACCCGAGCACCAAACCTCCGCAGCGCTGGCCAGGGCTCCCAGGGGCACAGTGTAGCCTTGGTGGGTTTTCTGGGGCTCCTGGTCTCTCCCAGCTGAAGTGAGGGTCTGCTTGGCTTCTTTCATCCCAGCATCCTCCCTCCCTTCCCACCTCACCTCCCTCCCGACGTACATCACGACAGGGCTTGGTGCCCTTTGCCAGAGCAGTGGTTTCAGCCACCAATCGTCCTCTTTTGGATGAGTATCGTTCTGGCGAGCACCATTGCCTGTCGGGTTATCCTGACTATACCACACCCTAAGCGCCTTTCTGCAGTGCCAATGGACAGAATCAGTGGGGCGCACAGGGATGCCCCTAAGCAGGTCCATGCCGCAAGACCAAGCGAGAGCCCGGGCACCAGGCTGCGAGCAATGGTAAACCTCTTCTCTCTCCTCCCGAGGGTGGGCCCGTGTCAAAGAGGGCAGCTCTCGCTCAACCCCCGGCGTTCGAAATGATACAGTGGAATTTAAATCCCCCAAATGATACAGCGTAAATCACCAAAACTTCTGTTTCTGTTGTGTGTTGCAGCTGGGAAGGGAATGGCCAGCTTATCAGGTTCTGCCACCTGGATCCTCTCTGTGCTGGTGGGGCATCCATCGACATATGCCCGTTAGCTGCGTTGGAAAGTGGGGTCCCTTGAGCCCCTTCTGAATCCTGGATTGCTTCATCGAAGCATCACTAGAAAGAGCCACACATGGGGAGTTTTGAGCCATAGTGTCTAAATTGAGAGATGAGTAGGGTCAATTTTTGCCCCCAAATTGCTCATCAGATATCTGTCCTTCCCTAATTTGCCCAGTGTGCAATTCCAGCAGCAAAAATTAAGCAATAGGGTTTTTTTCTGATCCCTTTCTGGGACCGTGTTTGGAGCCAGAGGCAGTCTGTCTTCCTGGTAGGAGGTTAATTAGTCTGTGGTATAAATACGTGCATGCGTCATTTTGTGAAAGGTGATGTTGCATCGTGGTACGAAATTCAGTGGATCTGTAGGTGTGGTGTTGGAGACGGGAATCCGTTTTTTTCAGAGGGGTGTCCGTGCACCATGGCCCTTCGCCCTCCTTGCTGACGCCTTCTCTTTTGCTCCAGGGGGATGCTTCCAAGTCTGATTCCGAGGGGGATCTCTTTCCCCGCAGCCTAGAAGAGGAGGGAGGACTTAAGAAGAACCTGTCAAATCCAGCCTGTGAGTAACAACCCTGGGAGGACAGGCCTTTCCGCAGAAACCTTGCTTTTGCTGTGAAAACAATGTGTCCCGAAGGGAGGAGCCCTCCTAGAGAGAACAGAGTAGTCCAAGCTGTGACAGGCTCAACCAAAGCCAGCAGGCGTGCAGCGTGGGCTGGGATCATGGGATGCAGACGGAGACAGACATGATGGCGTTTGAGCCGTAATCTCCCCACCGAGACAGACGTCTGGGCTTTCGGGGTGTCTGTGCAGGGGCACGGGTGAAGAAGCTGCAGGGAAGGAGGGTGGAGGGAGCCTAGGATGGGCAAGAAGGTTCTCAAGGTTGGAGCTGGCAGGTGTTGGTTGAAGGGTTGAGGGGCAGCGGATGATGATCTGTATCTGCTTTCCTCTCTTATTGGCACCTGATCCTGCTGGCACCGGATCCCATTCCTGATTTACATCCCCGTGCCCCGCTGCTAGGCTGAAGGACAGGCTCCCAGCTCTCCAGAATGGCTTTTTGGCCCCCATCCTCCCGATGCTTGGAGGAGAGCCATCTCTGTGCAGCTGCTTTGCCTCCCCAAGAGCAGGTCGTAGATATGCCCCTTGAGGTATGATACCTAAAACCCACTCGTGTCTTCCAGTGATGGCCCTGAGCGACCACCCGGAGCTGAAGAAGAGCTTGACCCCGCCGCTCATCATACACACCGCTGCCACGCCGATGCCCATGCCCAAGAGCGCCATGTTCGGAGACGCAGCGCAGGGCTACGAGTCCCGCCGGGCCAGCGGCGTCTCCGTGGACCCCGCCGCCTACGAGCTCAAGTCCCCGGTACTCACGTCACCTCCTCCTGCGGACGCTCAGCGCTTGTCCGTTGGGCTCGCGGGCTTGTCCGTCCATCCATCCGCCCCAGCTGGCGCAGCAGCAGTCCGGCACGGGGCGGGTGGCACCGGGCTGATGCTCTCCCCGTCCTTCCCGCAGCCCAGCGCCCGCAGCTCCCCGCACAGCCCCTGGCGCGCCAGCAGCAGCTGGAACAGCCGCCGCTCCAGCTGGAACAGCATCGGCCGAGCCCCCAGCCTCAAGCGTCGGGGGCAAAGCGGCGAGCGCAGATCCCTCCTCTCCGGGGAGGGGAAGGAGAGCTCCGAGGAAGGGGAGAGCTCGGATGAGGAGCGCTCCAGCCGGGCCGGCAGCTTCAATGGCTCTTTGCCTCATCGCATGGAATCGCTGGAAACAAAAGGCTCCTTCGACCTCCAGGATACCCTGCAGGTGCCTTCCCTGTACAGAACCAGCAGCATGCACAGCAGCCGAACCTCCACCTCTGAGCACCAGGACTGCAACGGGAAGACCTCTCCGGGTCTGCTGCTGCACCAGCTCCACCTGGATGACCCCCGACAGGACTGTGATGACTGCGATGATGAAGGCAACATGGTAAGGAAATGCTAAGCGCTCATTTTGGCTTTTTTCCTTGTCAAAGCGATGCTCGAATCTGCCTCAGGGCTGTGCGAGTGGGTGTGAAGCAATGGCCTGTTGCAGGGACTAGGTCTCACCATCGCCACCAGCCCAGACTGAGAGTCACCCAGAAGAGCACCAGAAGGTGTCTGGGCTGTGGATGCCATCAGAAATGGGGTTGGCATCTATCTTATTAAGTATTTCAATGCATTATCAGATCATTCATGGTGGAGAGATCAGGGCAAAACTCCCCAGGTTCCACTAAAAGGTGCAGAGTGAAGGCTATCTCTTGGAAATATACACTGTTCTGATTTTTTCTCCTTTTTTTTTTTTTTTTTTTTAAAACCCAAGTAACTTTCCCCGCTGTTCAACCATTATTCAGCTTTCTGTTCCCCCCACACAGCATCAGACAATTTCTATTGACATCAACAGCCAACGAAAGGGCAGAGTTCACCCCCCCATTCCCATGGCAGTGTTAGTCCCATAGAGACAGTGGTAATTTCAAAGGCTTTGCATTAATTTCTGTATGAAGAGGCGTTAAGCCAATAAGCATCTCTCTTTCACGGGCCTGAAAAGTGCCATTTAGGAAATATTAGCTAAAAGGGCTGTAAGCACAGGGAAGGGAAGAGGGTCCCTGACTCTTTTTCCACATGGATGTTTGTATCTTAAGGGAATAAAAGGAATTTGGCTGCTTTTCCAAGGTTTTCTGCATGGTTGGCAGAGAAGGGGTTGAGCTGGGCGGCAGGATGCCACCGTCCCAGCTGTCGTGTGTGTGTCGGGATATCCCTGGGACAGTTTTTGGGTGTTTTCTGCTCTTCCCAGGGTACCTCTTTGTTTCACTTTACCTTGTTCTCAGGCTTAAAAACGTGATGGTCTGATGTGTCACCCCAAGGAGGTAACTCTGTTTCTGCTGGTGAAATGGATGGGGTTTGGGTAGAACCACGTGATGGTAACTGGGGTGGTACTGAGAACAGGAAAGCTGCAGCTTGTGGACATGATTTTACTGTATTTCACTGAGTTTGTTGAATGAAAATGGAATTTGGAGCATGTGAAGGGATGCGAAAGGCAGCGGTGACTCCAGAGAAGGAACAGGAGGAGAAAGAGAGTTAGTGCTGGCAGAATGGAGTCGCTCAGCCGTGAATTGCCTTTAAAAAAAGCCATTATCCCATTACATCTCCAGCATGGATCCTCAGCCTGGGATTTTTACTGATTGTCTTAACCTGGTTTTTAACCTCCATAAAATAAATTGAATTTTTACGAAAAGGAGGAGTAATTATTTTTGGAAAAAGCACTACTAAAAGTGATCAATGCTTTTTATTGCTAGCTAGGGATTTTTTTTCATGCTCCAACATCTGCTGCTTTTTCCAGCTTACCTGGTCCAAACATCCTGCAGGTCCCTTCCTTCCTTCCCCCGCGTGAGATCAGAAGCCAGCAGCCTCCCTTGCTCTGGACATCGTGTGATGGGACGCGTCCCTCCTCTCCCATCCCACCCAGCCCCGCAGCCCCAGCCAGTGCTGACGATAGGCTGTTGAATAAGATGCATGTTTTTAATCTTTATTACGACAGCTGCTTTTAGCGTAAACCAAACGTCAACTTCTGTGTGCCGAGGTCTGGCCACGGAGGGTTAGACCAAAGGTCCCTCAATTCTCTCCCATGGAGTGGTCAGAGGCAAATGCCTAGGGAAAGAATAGGCAAAATAGGGTAAATAAATTGTGTCCCAGCCCATGGTATAGCCACAACTGGGACATCTGCAGCTGGTCGGTGCCTTTCCCCATGCTCCGAAATATGTCTTCACTGCAAATCACTAAACCAGATGGATCGGAAATATTGCTTAGATTAGTGAAATGAGCCCCCAGGTTGCGGAGCTTCCCTTTTATGATTCCCTCCTGACATTTGGGGTGATGCTTTGCCCCTAAATTAGCCTTGACAAAGTCAGAAAAAAAGTAATTATTTTTTAAGTGGAAAAAATAAAATTCAAAACTCCCCCACCAACAAAAGAAGAAAAGAACTCAACTGTTATTCAGATCAAAGTAATCCTAAATATGCCCTTCTGCAACAAAGCTTCACATCTCTCCTTGCTGGCTGGTTTTGATTGCCTCTGCGCAGAAATAAAAGGGAGTGCAAAGGCTTCGTTTGGATCTCCCAGGCTCCCATTATATTAGTGCCGCTCCACTGCCTTCAATGAGTTTATTCTGAATTTACATCCCTCCGAGGGGCCAGAATCAGGCCCCTGAGAGCTCTTCTCCCTGGAAGTATAAAATCAGGGGACTGAAATCTGTTGTTCATTGCATGAATGCAGGCAAGGAGAAACTTCACGGAGGGAGTGATCTGCTGCCTGGTTGGGTTTGTGCGGCTGTGACCAAGATCAGGGATCTGCTGTGAGGTCTTTGTTGTTCACGTCTGCTGGATTTTGGATGGTTTTGGGTGTTTTCCTACCCAAATTGCTGAGTGCTCAGAGCAGAAAGTGAGGGAAATATTGAATCTGCAACCAAATGTGTCCCCTCCTCCCAGAAACCTCATTGCGTGTTGCAATTGTGGCTCCTTTCCCCTTTGCCTATTGCACTTTTTTTCTGTGGTGCGCAGTCCAGCCGCTCCCCAAACCCTCTCAGCTTGCCCCTGCTGCATATTTAAAATTAAATAGTCAGGTCCCGAGTGCCTCTGTGCAGCTTCCAGCTTGCCTAGAGGTCCGTTGCAGCTTGTAGAGTGTTTTTCAGCAGTTTCCCCCCATCCTTATAATAAATCTTTTATAAATCTAAGCCTCTCCCTTACTCCAAGGAGTGCATCAGTCATCTTTTAATGCCAACTGTCTTTCATCCTGCCCTCAGAAGTACATTAATATCTGAAAGTCCTTAAAAAAAAAAAGGCAGTTATTTATCAGCAGCTCTCCTTGCTGTGGGATCGGAGGGCCCTGTTAGCGTGCTGCCGGGTGAAGGCAGCACCGCTGCCTGTTAGCAGCCAGCATCGCACCACGTCTTGGCTCCTGCCTGCGTGCCGGCGGGGGGAGTTTGGGTGGTCTTACCCGGGAGATTTTGTCAAAGTTACTGGCAACTGAATTAAAGCGTAGTTTTCTTCTCCCCCCACATCTTTATTCATCCTGTCCAGGTGTGTTTTATGAACAAATAGATATGATTTAAACCACATAATTGATATATCGCTTTGAACATAATGCAGGCTTAAGCAGCAATCAGCCTGATTGTAAGCAGTTGATGCGTGTCTTGGACCTCACGGAGAAAGCATTTGATGGGACTTAGGCTGGAAATGCTTGGGTTTTATTTCACAAATATCTTACATTTGGCTCAAATTAACTGAACTGCGCTGTTCCACTGGTGGAAATCTGGAGTAATTCCTTTGACTTTAGATTTCTGTGGATGTACTTGGCCCCGTACAGAGCAGCCGGGCTGCAGCCCTGACTGAGCCAGCGCCGGCCGAGCCCAGTGCTCACCCTTACTCTAACACACTGAATAGAGAGACATGATGGAAGATCACTTTTTGCCTTTGTTATCTGATTTAGCCCATGAACTGCAAGCTGCAACAATTAGCCAAACCCCAAAATATCTTTGGCATTAAAATTGGACAAAAGGAATATAAAGAAGCATTCTGTGCTGCTGACGCATTACCATTCACTACAAATCCCCATGATAAATACCAGAACTGCTTTGAATAATAGATACTTCTGGAAACCTTCCAGCTTGCAAAATGAACTGGACCAAGTCGCAGCTATTACTCCATGTCCAGAGGCTGGAGTAGCAATCGTTCTCACTGCAACTTTGAGCAGACACTTGATTTTTATCCATTTATTTACCTTTGTTAAATCTATGGATAATTAAACTAACTAGGCTGCTCGAAGGGATAACGCAACCCCAAGGATGCATGCTCTATCAAACAGTTTAGAGAGAAGGGAGCAGTTCCGACTCCTTGCCTGGAGTTGGAAAAGGGATGTGAAAACAGCCAAGACATGGCCAAAACTTACTGGTGTGCCGTGGCGTGGTCTGTGTTTGTGTAGAAGGGGAGGGAAGGATGGTCGGCTGAAGGAAAGCGGTAGAAAGATCTAGCTTTTTTTGTTATTCAGACTTTTCTTGTTGTTTTCACAAGGTGGTTTTCGTTTTCTGAAGGGTTCAGGTTGTCACCGAGTGCTTTCATTAAAATGGACACTACGCTAGCTGTTACCCATTGCTAATGAGACCCCTGGCTGAGTGCATATAAGAACAGAAAGCACTTCCTCCGTTCCACTCAATTACCCTAACAAATCCCATTTTTGCAGTCCAGAGTACCTCCAGTTGCTAACAGTTTGGCTCCGAACGAATCCCCCTCCCTGTTTCCAGGATGAAATAAATAAAAGTGCCTTGGCCCCTGGGGTCCGGGCTCTCCTGGGGTGTAAGCAGCGATTCCTGTGCTGGGCTTCGCAGGTCCTTTTCTGAACATCTGCAGGAGAAAGCTTCAAAGAGCCTGTGTGGCCACGTTGCCGCATGCATGCATGTCCAAGCCCAGGTGGTAGCAGGGAAATAAGGGTAATGAAAGAGCAAGGATTCATTTTTATTTATCTGTAAATGCAAAACATTCTGGTGACATTGCACACACCGGTCTGTGGATTTATCTTCTGGTGTTTCTATTTGGAAGGGCTGGAAAAGCCCTGGCATGTTGGGTGAGATGTTTGCCTGGCTTCTGCTGGTTGTCCATGCGCAAGGCGCTAGCGCTGCAATGTCAATTGGATTAAAGATCCTGACGTCCCCTCGGAGACCTATCGATGAGAAGGCGATAAGCCTAATCCAGAGGCTGTTGCAGCCGGGAGGAGGCTTCCCCTCGGCATCCAATTTTTCATGTCGTCAGTTGACCTGTTGGCCAAGGCTTTTACAACCTGCCCTCCTGGCCTTAAATGACCTTGCAGACGGCCTAAAACATAAGTATGGGCAGCTGAGGATGCGCTGTGGTTTCAAGTAGGAATTAATTTGTGGGAATCGCATGGCCCATGTTCATGCAGAAGGTCAGGCTGGCCATGGTATTACCTTCTGGTTTTATAATCTCCCATCTAATCTGCTCATGCTAAATGAGAGGCAGATGCTCACCATTGTGTTCCTGGACCAAAACTTGGGTCCCAAACAATTTCTTCAGCTTTCCAGTGGTGTATGGACATAGGGCTTAGCCCAGCAAGCAGCAGGAATCCCTCTCTCTGCTCCCTTTATAACCTCTGACATAAGCATTCTGTATTAAAAAAACCAAACAAACAACAAAAAAACCCCCACAAAAATACCCCCAAACCTTTAGAAGATTCAGGCAAGCATCTGATGAGTATCTACAGGGACTGAGGCTGATCGGAGCATGTTATCAGTCCTCTGGGCAAGGGTTTTATTAATCACGTTTGTCCTCTTAGCTAACTGTGTGCCAGATGCAGTTACCGTGCGGAGGAAGAAGCAAGACCAAACCCTGTGGGTTCGTGAGGCTGACACAGCCCTCGCCTGGCTGCCAGAGCTCCTTCCCCTGCCCAGTGGGGTCTTTTCTGGGGGAAGATCATTTTATTTCAGCTTTACTGAGCGCTTGGAGATATGTGTTCAGTGAAAAATTGCCGAGTCCTTCACTTGGAAGTTTTGGGGGGTTATTTTTTTAACAGTTCTGCGTTTTCCTCCTGGTACGTTTCTGGGTTATTTTTTTTAACAGTTCTGTGTTTTCCTTCTGGTACGTTTCTGCTGTACTTTTTCCTCCTAGAGCAAAAGGGACCGCATGAAGGCATGGGTACGGGCACGTCTCCCCGCCTGCTGCAAACAGAGAGACTCCTGGTCCATCTACATCTTCGCCCCTCACTCAAGGTAAGGCAGCTGCCCTTGAGCAGGAGTGGTGTGCCAGGCACGGATGCCCTCATTACAATGGCTCACTCTGCCCATCTATCCTAGATGGGTCTCTGTGTGTCAGTCCACAAAACTCCCAGCCCTTCCCCTGCTCAAACACTGCATTGGGGTCACGGAGCAAGTGGCTGCTGGATGCAGAGAGCTGCTCCAGGGCAGGCATGGCCCTGGCCTAGCAGTGTCCAGTAGAGCCCCATAGCCCAGGGCATGGCTCCAGCTTTATCGAGTTTGTTTGCTTCATCAGTGATGCTAGCGTTCTGCAAGTTTTTTTACAAGCATGGGGAGTTTGAAGCAAGGAGGAGAGGCGCTGCATTAAGCAGAGAAATCTGAATTTGCCCCTGCTGCACACTTACAACACAGCAAAGGACGCTCCTGGACCTCCTAAACCTGCCTCTCAGCCTGGACTTCTCTGTCCTCCCCCTTCCCTTCCTCCCTCTCCCAACAACCCCCAGAAAACACCCTCTCCTTGCCTGCAGGCCCCCAGCTTTGCCCTTCCCAAAGCCCGGCCGCGCCGGGGCCATCTGTGGCTCCATGCTCTCCTACATGTTTCTCTGGACGTCCACCCACGCTCAACGAGGGTTTCCCGTGTTTGAGCTGGTGGGCCCTGGACAGCATTCGAGTTCATTCATACAAAGATTAGAGAGATTTTCAGAAACAGACTTTGGGAAATGTAATACGGTATTATAAATCCTGGGTCAGTGTACAGCCATCTGTCACAATAAATAGCTTCTGTCCCTTTGTTCCATGTGCACTCAACCCTTATGGGCTTGCTGGGAGTATTTCTTCCCTTATTTAAGCTAAACCTGAGCGCTACGGACCAGGTAGGGGGTCAGATCCAAACCTGGCCGCATGTCCGAGTTGTGGAAGCAGCTGCTCCATTTCAAGTGACCCAAAGCCCCCTGTGAACATTACCAGGGCTTGAAATTTGTGGCCTAATTCTGTAGCTCGCATCCTATTCTATTCATACCCCGATCTGCCCGCAGCGTGCGGCTCTGCCAGGGAGGGGATTGGGAGATTGTAGCTCATCTGCTTTGCAAACGGAGCGCTTGATTCCCCCGCCATGCGTCGAGCTGCTGTGTTTCTCCCCAGGCAGTCGAGCATTAATAGCTAGTCTGTATGTCCTCTTTTTTTTTTTTTTTCTTTCTTGGCAGATTCCGTCTGATGTGCAATAAAATCATCACACACAAGATGTTTGATCATATCGTCTTGGTGATCATTTTCCTGAATTGCATTACCATTGCCATGGAACGACCCAAAATTGAGCCTCACAGTGCTGTGAGTTTCCGAGGTTAATGTTTTCCTGTGCTCCTCGTGGAGCCAACACCCGTGGCTTGGACCCCACTGCTGTGCGCTTGGTCTCACTTTCTTTCTCTTTTTTAAATGGGAAGCTGCCAACACCCCCTGCATATCCTTCGAATTAGGTACAGCAACTCTCCTGGCCCCTACCCAGTGTCCTTTCAAAGTACAAGAGCAGAGCTCATGGCCTGCAATGTATCGAATATCCCATTTCTGCAAGTACAATCAAGGTTTTAACACATGACATAAGCATGACATCTGTCTCAGTTTCCTTCTCTGATAAACCTTCAAACACTTTTCCTCTCTCAACACAATGTTCGTTTCTTCCATCTGTTCTCCATGGGCACGTATGCGTGGTGCGAAGGGAATGGGGGAAACTGTTCATTTCATACTCTCCTCTCCCCTTTGTGTATCAGCTTTCTGTGACACAAGACAAACTGAATTGGTACACGCACGGTAATGCTATTTCCCCGAACCATTTTGTTTTAGTAGACGGTGTAAGGATTTCTCAAACCAGACCTTTGCAGCACCAACATCCATCAATCAGAGGGGCAGAATCATCCTATTGCTCTTTTATTTTAGCATAGATTGTGGCTGAGAGATAGGCTGGGCTCTTGCTGATGTATTGCGAAAGACTGCTCATATCGCAATCGTATAGAATCCTGTTTTGTTGATGTAGGCGTGTCAGGCTGTTCATTTTTGTGGATCTTCGATGTAAGACCTTAAAACTGGAGTCTTGGCTGCTCTGTGCCTATTTTAAGCTTTCCCTAGTAGTCCTCCCTACTGTAATAATTTGCCCAGTATTCCCTCCCCTAAATCCTTTTATTTTTTTCTTTTGGTTATTATGCAGTCATGGGGCACCAACTCACAGCTACAAGAAGAGAGCAGGACTCCCTGCCAGCCGATCTAGCAGGAGGAAATCACCCTGCTGTTCTGCAAATGGGGCACCCTGAGAATGTCCCTTGAAATCCCAAATGCTTCTTTGGAGCCCCTCGCTGTGTCTTCTGAGAGTCACCATTCACCAAGGCTGGCTCCAAAAGGAACTGTAGTTACACAGAGATGAAGGGAATGGGGTGACACGCATGAGTCCCAGGAGTCCACAGCAAAGAGATGTAGGACAAAAACCCAGTTCTTTGTATATGAAAGGAGGAGGATGAGCTGTGGTGTCCCCAGGCATTGGAAGAGTGCGGAGAGGAAAGGAGACAGGGACTGGTGTGAGGTTCATCAGCATCAGGTTATAACCAGGGGAACCAAAATGGGTCATGCAGGGCTGGAGCTGAGCCAGACCACGGCCTGGGAGCAGCGGGGAGGAGAGGGGGGATCCTGACCAGTGGGGCAGGGAGCAGGGGAACCAGGAGGAGTGCGCGGGCCCTGCCTGCGCTGATGGAGCTCTCATCTGGAAACCGAGAGAGTTAGTTTAGCTTGAGTTGTTTAAAATAATTGTACTTTGCTTCCTCGAGCTGTGGATTTTCTAGCTGCTTCAAATGAGTTCTCTTTCCCTGTCCCAGTTTCAGCTGGCTTATCAGAACAGGGGATGCTGTTGCTAGCCAACACGCGCTCCCCATCGCAGAGTGCGCGACATGGGCCGGGGAGATTATCCTTCAAAATAGCCACACGCTTGCCAGAGAGGAATGTAATATCCTCAGTCTCTCCTCCATGCTATTGCTGTTTTATCTCCAGCTCCACAAGCAGGTCCCTACTCTCGTTCTCCTGCGCACTGCCTACCTCTCTACAGCAGTCTTTTGTGTGGCAGTCAGCTAACGGCTGGAGACGTTTCCTATCACAGCTCAGGCAGTCACAGTGCAGGTCCAGGACCTAATTAATTATGGACCCCGTATGGAAACAAGCTACTCTGTGGTTCCTGAGTCACTTTCAGTAAATCATGATCTGGCAAGAGAGAGAGTTGCCAAGGTGTTTTGTCTTGTTTAAATTGCTTCTCATTTTGAGCGAGAGATCTGCATCTCTTACAGGACTGCTCTGTAGGGAGAGGCAGAAATAAATCCAAAATTGTTATTAGCAGAACTGGGGCTGGTTCAATTGTATGCACACATGCATACGTGCATGCGCATCACCTTTCCTCCAGCTTCTGCCTTCTGCTGTCCATTTCTCAGTACAGGCGATCAGAGATTGTTCGGGGATTAGGGAAAAGTGTAATTTATTTAATGATCATCATTAAAAAGAAAGGTTTCTGCTAACTACAGATAGGGAACCAGTCCATGGTCTCATCTGTAATCACTAGCTGCTATTGCAGAGCGGTGGCAGTGAGGACTGCATGGTCTGGTGGATAGTGCAGGGGACCGGGAGATGAGGCTATTGGGCTTCACGCCCAGGTCTAGCCTCTGGCTTTGGGCGAGTGAATCAACCTTTTGGGGGCAGGTCTCAGTTGGCATAAACCCCCAGAGCTTCACTGGCTTCAGTGGAACTGTGACAACTCGTGCCAGCTGTGCTTTGGCTTCCCATCGGTCCTGCTTGCCTTGCAGCACAGCCACGCTAATATTGACTTAATTTCTAGGAGAATTGGGAGCTCAGTGATATTTGCACTGTGCGGTGACGTCCGCAAGTGAGGGGCAGGTAGAGATTTGTCAAGCGTGCTCCAAGGGAGGGGGGAGATCTCCCTGTTTCTTTTGGGGGGAGAGGGGGAGGTGGAATTTTGGGGCAGATATGGGGAGATTTGGGGGCAGATATGGGAGGATTTGGGGCAGATATGGGGGGATTTGGGGGCAGGTGCCGGCACCTGCCCCTGTCCATGGTGCTGACACGGACCCGGCCTCTGGCAGGGCTGAACTGTGCGGAGTGTTGTTATCTAAATATTTGGATTTTCCCCTCTTTGCGAGCAAACAGTCTGAGACTTGTTTCAGCACAGAAGCTGGAGGACAGTTAGCAGCCACCCAAATATGCACAGGGAGATGTACAGCTGCAGAGAGCAGGCTATAAAACTTTGTCTCTCTTTTTCATAGGAACGGATTTTCCTAACGCTCTCCAACTACATCTTTACAGTTATCTTCCTGACTGAGATGACGGTTAAGGTAAATGAAGCTGGAGGATAAGTGTGCCTGTATTATATTAGTGACATTTTATAAGAGTGGACTATCAAAACCCCTAGGTCTACCAGTTACGAGCAAGGTTCCTCTTCTGAATCATATTCACCTACCACATGCCTTATTCTGAGCACATTTTACAATCAGAACAATTTCACTGAAGTTGCTCTTGATTTACACCATTATACGAGTAATGGGATGCTTCAATTCAGCAATCCTTTCCTATTCAGCAAAGCTCTGGAGCACATGCTTAACTTCAACCATGCATGTAAGTCCTATTGTCTTCAACAACCAATTGTCCTCAATAACCTAAGCAGCTATGTGCTTTCCTGGGGAAGGAGAGACTTAAGTGCATTGAAACACTTTGCTGGATTTGAGGCAGGAGGCTCAAAAACCTCTTGCTGTAAATCTCTCTTGTGTAATTCGTAATCATCTTGCAGAACAATTGCTTTTTCTCTGGAAAGTTTCTCTAGTTTCTTTATTTGCAAAGCTTGTAAATGATTGCTTTGGGTCAGCCACTCTGAACCTTTACTCCAGCAGTCTATAGGAACAAAATACAATCAAACTTTTTACGCCAGAGCTAAACGTTAGGAACAGTTTTGTGCAGCTATGTTTAGCTGCATTAAAAATACATCAGCTGTAAGGGACAATCTGGGATGTTTCTGCAGAGGTATTTTTACAATCCTTGCAATATAACACTTTGCTGATTTGTCTAATTAGGCTTCTATACTGGGAAGCAAATGGACTCACAGACTTGTATCTGTAAATAATGCATTCTCAGCAGGTTGCTAACTGGAAGAAACATATTGGATGCGATAGTCATAATTTGTTGCAACTTGGTGTCCGGGCAGGTGGTGGCACTAGGCTTGTGTTTTGGGGAGAAAGCCTACTTGAAAAGCAGCTGGAACGTGCTGGATGGGGTGCTGGTTCTCATCTCTGTCATCGACATCCTGGTCTCAATGGTGTCAGACAGCGGCACGAAAATCCTGGGGATGCTACGGGTTTTGAGACTGCTGAGGACGCTGCGGCCCTTAAGGTAAGTAGAGGATGAGGAAGAGGATTAGTGTAGGGTGTGTGCCAAAGGGGGAACTGAGCCTCTCTTGCAAGCAGCAGCATTTGTGCAAGGGAAGGGACAGGCGAGACGAGGGCACGGTGTCTGTCACCATTGTTGTGCCCAGCCTCCTGCTGCTCCGCAGACAATAAGTGTCCGCAGGTCCTGCAGAGCCGCAAGGAGCTCCGGGCGCTCGCTGTGTTTTGGGACCGGCCCCAAGTGCAGTAGTAAACTGATCAATGCCTCTTTTGCTCATTAAAACACACATCCCCTGCTATTTGTGTTCTCATTTGCTCTGTGTAAAGTGCAGCTTAACAGCTTCTTCTCCCCCTTTCCTTCAGGCAGTCAATGGCTTTCATAACAAAGAAGGAAATTAGTAGCAGGTGGCAGATCGTTTTTAAGGAAGCAGAGACTAAACTGTTGCTTAACTTAGAATGCAAAGAAGCTTTTTTCCCCCCAGTTCCCCATTAATTTTACAGAGACATTTATTTTGAAAAGGTGCCCAAAAAGATGAAAGCAATTGTCCTGCTAACTTGGTCCCCCATCTCTGACAGCAGGCAGTATCCCATGCCCCAGGGGCAGGCGCCCCTCTGACAAGAATCTGCCCAAGGACCAGCCTCTTCCAAATAGGCATCCGTTTTGTCCTGTACCCGGAGGCATGAAGGTTTCTCTCCATGCTAAATGCAGTCCCTCTTTAATACCATTGTTGCTGCTCTTGTTATGCAGCAGCTAATAAACCTTCCTGCTCAAAGCATCTTTGTGTGCCTGTCATATCTTACTGCTGCTTCCTTCATAAAAGGTTCTCTTTGAGTCAGGATTTTCTCTTTCAGGACAGAAAAACAAGACCCTGCTTCTGACAGAAAATGTTGTTTTACTACCCCTGTGTGAATAATAAGTCTAAATAACAATGGCTGTGCCTATACGTATATCTTTCAAATATTCTCAACAGCTATGAAAGACTTTCCATTAAATTGGGCTATGTGTATGTTGTGCCTGGTGAGTTTTAGGATGTGAGCTGCTTTTGATCATTTTTATCTGGACAGATAGCGCCATTGGTGTGGTTCAGCTCCCTGACCATGTGACTAGACTGTCTTCCTACATGACTCCAGTTCAGGCTTTTTTCTCTTTGTGTGTCCCCTGGCATCTCCACGTCAACTGTAGTTTCTGGGGGTAGTTTCTGCCAGATTGTTGGTTCAGTAGATCTGCTCTGCTCTTCTGTTTCAGCTGATTTTTGACCCGTGTTAAGAAAACCTACAAAACAATCTGGATAGCTCTGGATAAAAGAAGAATTGATTTCCCATCTCCAAACTGTGGAAAGCAAGTTTCTCTTTTGAGGTGGCATGGTTAAATCGGATCTAGAGGAAGAGGCTTGGGTTGTGCTGAGCCCTACTAGGGTCACCTGGCTTGGGTCGTGCTGAACCCTGCTAGAGTTGCCTGTCTGACCTAGTAAAAGCCCTGTATGCTTCTTTGTAGGTCTCTAGGTCTGCCTGGCCAGGGCCTGGGTCTTTGTTTAGTAGAGCCTTTCTCTGCAGCCACTTATGTGCATGAGTAGTCTGCAGTTGTGGGGAATAATGCACTGAGTAACTGCAGGCTGGAGGAAGACCTGCCATCTGGAGCATGTGTAGGATTAGGCTCTTCCATTGCTATTCCATCCCTGTTGGCATTTGATATGTTTTCTCAAGAGAGTGTGTAAATGTTTTCAGCCAACATGCTGCTTTCTGCTACAAAGGAAATGTAAAAAGACAGCAACAAGCCCATTCCCTAAATATGTTCACAATCAGTTCTATTCCCCTGTAATTAGATTTGTAGGAAATGAAAAAGCAGCCATCAAACTGGGGGCTTTTCAGTAAGTCATAAATCTCCGCTTGTGGAAACCCATCTGCCTCTGCGATGCACATCTGGGCTGCCCTGAGCACGCCTCTGCCCGCAGCTGCCCGCTCTGCCTTTGCCGCGGGCTGCGCCATGTGGCTTGGGGATCACATCGCCACTGCCTGGGATGTTCAGCTGGATCAACATGGGATGGCAGCTGGGACAGGCGACCTGAGTTCTTTGCACACCGTGGCTACAGTCCCCGTGTCCGGGTGAAGTCCCCAGCGGAGGCCAAGAGAATGTTTTTCCTTTCCAGGAAGGCATAGGGCAAAGACCAAAGCGAATGATCTGTCCCACCACAGAGGAGCCAACCTGGCTCCTTCTGCTCTCCCTTTCCGTGGGCACTCGGGAGCAGGGCTGCAGGGAGGACACCCTCAGTGAGAAGCCAAACCGTGGCTGTGGGTGACACACTCGAGAGCAGGGACAGCCCTCGTCGTCTCTGCATTGGCTTTCCTGGTTGATTGTCTGAAGGGGTTCATCGTGCAAAAGACCTCCCTCATTCTGTCTCTTATTTTCTCCTGTGAAAACAACCCTGTTGCTTTACACAGCAGACAAACCACACATGCTTGTGCCTTTTGCCCAGGCATTAAAAAAACCCTGGCCTGTGTGCCAGTCACGGGCTTTTGATTGCATGATTGATTATCAGCCTCCAAATTGAATCCATGAGGATTCGAGCCCAGCTTTATGACCAGAATTCCAAAAATATATTCACAAAGGAGTGACATTTAAAGATGTTTCCATGACCCTCTGATGTTTCAGCCAGTAGAGGGATTGCTTATACAATAACATTCCTTCCTAATGCGTTCAACCTGCTGTTGTTGGGATCAAGTGTTGTAGCTTAAGATACAAGAGAAATTAAAACTGAAAATGTATTCACATTTAATGTGGATGGACTTCAGTGCTATCTACTCTCTACAGAGCCTGGGCTTTGACTTCCAAAGCAGATGGATAAATTATTCACTTTTCATACCATTGCAGTATGAAATAGTCATTTCATAGACTCTTTTCGATCTATCATATTATCACCTTTGCTAATTTTTTTTTAATCTGTGGAGGAAGGTCTTCATTAACATTGATCTGCTACTTCATCTAAGTGCTACTTCTTCTGAGAGCTCTGATGAGGCTAGCAGGCTTAATGTTAGTAAATGTGATCCAGCTGGGATGAGGCTGGCAGTGGGTTTGGAGTTTGGCACGTCTCACACCAGGGGTTTAACAGCGTTGGGAATGCTGAGACCAGCAGAACCAGGAGGAACTGAAGGGATTAACATTTCTTCATACTGAAAAAAAAAAAAAGGAGGTCTCCTTTCAATTTCCCCGATTGTCATATGCCTAATGCAGACTGGAATTGTCGTGGGTGGAACCTCAGTGAGTCTATGGCTCTGGCACACCTGGAGGGCTCCAGATCAGCTGGATCCTTCAGCAATAAATTGCAGGAGTGGTGGGTTTGCAAGCCTGATATCAGCAGGACCTTGGGCAATATTGATGAGGTGCGGGCATGCTGTATGTTGACATATTGGAGGTGACACTAATAATCTGGAAATGCTGAGGATTTCATTGGCACTTCTTAGAGAGTTGTCAGACTGTCAGGAGAGCGGCAGGAGTCTTTGCACGGACTTGCCTTGATGTTGGATCAGGCCCTTAGTCTGAGGCAGCTCCAAGGTCTGAAGGTTTTCATTAGTGAGAACTATTATTTTTCAAAATCTTTTCAAAGTCTTCTCTCCCTGTAGGGCTGGAAACAGCATTGGCATGGAGCTAAACTGGTGGCAGCTTTTACCCTCATGCATTCTCATTTGAGGAATTCCCTGGCTGATCAAAACACTGAAAGCAGCCAAATGCTGCAGTTTCTCAGCCCTTTTTTTCTCAACACACATGACTTTGCGAAGTCAGACAAGTAACCTCCTATTTTCTCTCTCTACTGGATACCAAATAGTATCTCACAAGGGAAATCACTTTATTATTTCTAGAATAGGCTTGCTTAATAAGTGTTGGAGAAAATTATCATCTTTAGACTCTGGAGACTAAATTTCTTCCTTGTTACCCCAAATTTAAGGATGCTCCAATAGTTTAGACTACAGGCCCTCAATTTAGAAGACCTGACTTTGGTTCCGGTCTGTGTGACAGTGGACAGAATACCTAAGTCAGGATCCCTGAAGGCACCAAAGTGCCTAATTTCCATTGAAATAATTGGAAATGTGTTGCCTGCATACCTCTGAGAACATGGCATGCGGTCCTCCCACACCTCAGTTTCCCATCTGTACTTTGGCAGTTGTAGTATTTCACCCAGGACTGTGTGAGGGTAATACGTGAGGTATGGCGAGGTATTTAGACCACCTGAAGATCCAGAAGAGAGCTTTAGCCTCAGACTGTCCAGCCCAATTCTCGCTTTGTGCACTCAGATGGAGCAGGAAGAGCCCTGGCCCTGCGGACACTGGATTAACCAGCAAATTGAGTCAGGCACACTGACCTGCTGTCCAGCCTCCTCTGCTAGCTGGCCTCGGCTCGGCTTTCAGCCTCGGTGCAGGTACAACGTGGCAACAGCAGCGTAGCTGCCCCAGCAAGGACCTCAGCCTGGGCTGATTGACGTGGGTTGTTTTGGCAGCCCACACCAACCAGTCTCACGCTGCCGTGGCTGCGTGGGGTCCACACCGTCCCCTGGGGCATCTCCGTCTTGGGCAGCCTTCTGCTTCCTGAGCCATCTCACCCCCCCCCCCCGCTAATTCCCCCAAATAACCCAGATCTGAGCATCAGGAAAGCCCGGGCGCCTGAAATAGGGAGCCACAGCAGCTACCTGGAAGAGACACTCAGCGTGAGGAATAGCAGCATCTGCCTTTTGTGTTTCGCTGGCAAGGGAGTGGATAAAAATACCACCATCTGTTTCTTTTTTAAAATGATAATTGATGAGTTATCCTTGACATTTTGAGTAAATATTTAACCAGAAAAAAGGGAAATAATTTTTAGCTTTTCAGGATACTGTTTAAAGCCAACAGTTTTTGAAAGACCTGGTGCCTGTGCACTGAGCGCTGCAGTTTGCTAAACCTGTTGGCTCTGGGGCAGGAGAGGGTTGGTGCAGGCTTGGCTGAGGTCCCAGCTAAGGCCATGTGTGTCAGGCATGTGGATGTGTCCATGGGGACCTCTGCCGGGAGCACCATGCCCGGGAGGGGGAGAGAGGAGGAGAACTTGGATCCTCTCCAGGCAAAAAAACTCCAACTGCGCTTCAGGTGGTGCAGCCAGACTTGGGGCGAAACGGGAGAGATGGTGAGAAAACTCCTATGGCAAAAGAGAGAACCAGGGGGAAACAAGAAGGTGGGGAACTTTGTGGCACTTCTGAGCGCCAAGTGTTCAAAGGAGTCACCAGCCAGTTTGCAGAAGCATACAGGCGCTCCCCTCCCTCTGACTTAAACAGCAGACAGCTATTTCTGCCTTGGGAAAGCACAGTTTCTATGGCATCAGTACAAATTGATTTACAGCGCTGGTGAAATGCTTAATTCCAGTTGACATCAAGAGGAGGGAGGCATGCAACCTCTTCAGATGCCTTTCTCGGTCCCCCAGCTCTCCACCTTCAGGTCTGTGAGCCTGAATACCTTGCTCATCTTGCCCAGCATGGTGAGATGGCTTCTCTAAATCACACAAGCCTTGTCCTTTCATTGTAGCATGTCCTTGAGAGTCTAGCAGTATACTATAGTTTCTCCTTTTTTTTTCTTTTTTAACCTACTTCCATCATGATGTCCACGTTATTCTTCCCCAACCTTCCCATACGATCTAATCCTCTGTTACGAAATTCTGTGCGGTACCAGTGAGAGAGGATCTACAGAAATAAGGTTAGATGCCTGTGGTCCTGCTGGTGAAGTTTCACCTGGAGGACACCACTGGTTCAGTAGCTAGGGTTGTACAGTGGGTATAAAGCGGACACTGTGATGGTGCTGAGGGGTAGCTCTGGTCTCTGTACGTAGCAGCACTATAAGGACACATACAGGGCTTTTCTTACGATGAAGGTGTTGAAACACTGGAAGGGGTTGCCCGGAGAGGTGGTATATGTGCCATCCCTGGGAACATTCAAGGTCAGACTGGATGGGGCTCTGAGCAACCTGATCTAGTTGAAGATGTCCCTGCTCATTGCAGGGGTCTTGGACTAGATGACCTTTAAAGGTTCCTCCTAATCCAAACCATTCTATGATTCTATAATCACTACAGATGTGCAGGCAGCTGTGTAAGAGTGGCTGCTCCATTTCACAGACTGAGACAGGGAAATCAAGAGCCTTGCCTAAATCTACACAGGAATGGACACTGGGAGGCCCTCTCTTTGCAGTCCTGGACAGGCTACAGGCATAAAGGTGTGTGTTTGTGGATTGCCCAAACCAAGAGGCTGGATTCCATGGAAGGTGTGATCAAGGCTGGAAACCTAGAGAGCTTTTTGGACTGAATGGTAGGAAAAGGAAAATGCCAAGACTTGACTGTATTCTAGTGAATGGTAAATAGAAGATGCTGATCAGCAAATGGATCAAGAATATGTAGTAAGTTAGACTAAAACTGTCATTCCAACTTTGGAAAATATGGGACTAGCCTATATAGCTTCCTTTCCTAGGTCCTTCTCTAGTGACTTTTCTGGCCTAGCTCCTCAGATGTGGTCTCCTCCTCTTCTTTTATGCAAAGTTGCATGTGTAGGCAGAGACCCCTTTCCCTCAAACACCTCTATAATCTCACAGGTCAGTCTTCCAGAACTACTTTGTCCATCATGATTTTTGAGTTATTTGCCATTCTAAAAAATTCCCTCATGCTGTTTTCTCCACATCTTCTACCTTGATAGGAGGCAGAACAGGGCAAGAACAGGATTAACATCGCTTTTGTGCTTACTTGCCCCCACAGAGTCATTAGTCGAGCCCAAGGACTGAAGCTGGTGGTGGAGACTCTCATGTCTTCCCTGAAGCCCATTGGGAACATCGTGGTCATCTGCTGTGCTTTTTTCATAATCTTTGGGATCCTGGGAGTTCAGGTGAGTCCCCTGTAAGCCTCAGCACCTAACCCAAAAGCATAACGAGCTCTAGATGGCCCCACATCTGCGTGTCTGTACCAATGGGCACACTATAAGCCTTTCTGAAACTGAACCAACGGGCTTTTTGGCCTTCTTGGGGAACGCTCCTTGCTCCTAGTGAGGAAGAAGCAGATTCCCATTATTGGTCTCAGTAACAATTACAACCTCACAACAGTGGCCCAGCAACACGCGTCCCTAGCCGTAGCTGAAGGAGCAATGGTTAGAGCCAGTTAGTGGGGTTGGTTTTTCCCCTCTCCAGTTCCATCGAGGTCCTGCGCCCAGCTCTAGAAATGTGTGTTGGTTTTGAATCCATAACTTTGCCATCATTAACAGCCTGACCCGTGACTCAGACCCAAGGCCTTATGCAGCTCTTGGTCCCCACCCCAGCAGCACAGTGTGGCCTTTCTAGTGCTCACAAGACATGTTTATTCCTGACTTCCAAGTCTTGGCTATGTGTCTTTTGACACGTTGAACTTTCTTGAAGCTTCCCTATTGCATGCAGTGATACAAAAGCCAACATGATGACCCCCTCAAAGGCACAGAATGGGTTTTATTCATCCTTTTCCCACCACAAGGACTTCTGCTCTGCTTGCACTGGGACATAAACCAAGATATTTCTCCGCTTTCTTCCCATGGCCACATCACAGATGGGTCAGGCCTGAGGCATGACATGTACCACCAGAAAAACTCTGCTCAGGGAAACTGTTAAATCCTGTTCCTGTTCCATCTGGGAGATAACATGGCGACATCACCCCTCCACCTTTCTTCTAGGCATAAACCAATGGGGAAATAGAAACTCTCAAAGCTGAAATTGTTGGTTTGTAAACTCCAGAGAGACCTTAACCTGGAGATTCATTCAGATTGTGACAGTTTGTATAACTGAAAGCTTGCAGAAATAGAGATTTCTGAGTCTGCTTCCCGCCAGCTCTGCTGGCAATATCCTCAGTCTTAGGAGTGCAGGAACCTGGGGGAAAAGTGGCAGAGTTTCCAATGCAATTGGTATCTCATTACCTGGTAAGAAGAGATTGTTTCATATAAATATTCTGACATAACACTTATTCCTTTCTGAAGTTTATCTGATCTGTCACAGCCAGCTTTGAAAGCAGCTCTCTCTGCCTTTGTTTTGGAAAGGTGTCTTATGTAATATTTTATACTAATACACTGTTTAAATAATAAATACACCATTGAAAATAAACAGAGAAGAAAATCATGCCATCAGTAACCACCTCACCAGCTAGATTGGCTTAGCATTACAGTACAACAACATCCATCCATTATACTAAACAGATTCATAAAACTAAGCACATCCCATAAAACAATATAAAACCTGGACACAGGAAAATTTATGCCAAACAACAAAACTTGCAGTATGCTCTTTGAATTTCCTCCCTGCTAATTGTGATTGCTTTCCCTAGTGACTTGCAGTTTTACATTAAATTGTCATGACTATTGATGTGCTTAAGTGGTAGATACAAGCAAGACTGATCCTGTATTCAGGATGCAAAATTCTCAGTTAATATTTATGTCTAATTAGGTGTAAGATGAGGGCTATAGCTATTTTCTATAAAAAGATGATCTCTCAAAGTTACAGTTGGTTTTCCCAAGTAAATATAAGCTGGGGATCAAAGTAGAGGTTTTTAATGCTATTAAAATCCCAATGTCCACGTTTCTAGTGGTGTTTCCTCTTAGCAAGACTCTTTTTGTTGTAGAGCTTGCCCACATGTGAATAGTCATTGATAAGACACAAGAAATAGATAAAACAAGTACAGTAGGAAACACTGGGTCTTCCACTTTTGGAAGTGCTAAAATCTGAAGCACTGACAGGGATCAGCATTTTTGCAAATTGGTCTTTGTATTTCCAAACCCCGTTAGTAGCTATGTTACTGCTCCCATCTGAGTGGCATTACAGTCCAGCTCCTGCAGAATTTACGTTTATAGACAATATATTAAAAACAGTTGTTTACCTTCCTGCTTAATTAAAACTTTTCTCTGTGAAGGCTATATCTCCCCAGTCTGCCTTACCTACGGATAGTGTTTCTCCATGGAAAGATCAGGGAATACTTCTCTTCTTGCATCCAGAAGTTTTATGACTGCGTTGAGTGTGGATTAATTTTGCATGCCTAGAGAACGTCCTTCTGCTGTTGATTTCTGAAGGAAACCCATGGAGTAATGCGTGGGTTTATCTTGTTTGCTAGTATTTCTACTGATATTTGTCTAGAACAACAGATCAAAACCTGTCAGCATCTTTTCTCTGTATACCCAGGTGGTGGTTTAAGGAGCCTGCGGAGCAGGCTGCCATTTCCCCCCAAAACAGTAATGTCAATAGCTTCTGTCAGCAAATAAAACCAGATTTGTTGGATGTCTCCCGGGCTTTGATACCATCCATCCTGCTAGCATCAATCACCCTGTCTGAAGCGGTAATCATCCCCTGCCACTCCGCTCTGTGCGCAGGAAGCACCAGCTCTAGAATTAAGCACGTGGAAGCTCGTGTTCCTTGTGTAGGTGTAAATCAAGAGCTGATTCCCCAGGAGTTGTGTCTCTCCTGGCTTACACCAAAGGAAATAAGCTCAGGATCAGGTACCCAGCACCAGCTGGGCTTGGCTCCTTAAGCTCTGCACGAGGAATATTTTCAGAGACCCCTGCACAGACTGCAGAGCCTAGTGATGGCTGGAGAACAGCATTCGGGACCAGAGCTGGACTGACAGCAGTCTTGATTCAGCAAGAGCCCGATGTCACTCGCAGCAGCTCGGCTCCTCTCTGCCGTGTCCCCCTGTGACCTGTAAGAGCAGAGCTTAGTCCATTGCTGTGCTTCTTCAGTGCCACTTTCCTCTGCTGACAGAGGGCCCCTGTTACTCTTAATTTGTCGGTGACTCTTGAAACCAGCATCATTAACCGGGCTGAGAGCCGCCGGAGACATTCCACGTGTGGTGAGAAGCCACTAGCTGGTCGGAGCTATTAGTTGGGGCTACACTTGAGCTGGCGACCCAGAAGCAAAGGCCTTTAAGCCAGTCTCAGATCACTGAACCAGACAACCTAACGCACGAGGTGGGCGTCCTAAACGATGTGAAATCACGCGTTTGCTCATTAGGTGCATATTATACAGGCTGCTCGCACTTAATAACCTGCATGAATGAGGCCATTTCCCTTAACTTCTCTGGTCGGCGTGGGCTGTGCAGAGTACCCCAGGAGAAATGCCCGTCATCTGCAGAGAAATCCTGCAGGCTGAACCCTTACAGTTCCTCTCTTCTTTGCGTGTTTTGCAGCTTTTCAAAGGCAAGTTTTTTGTCTGCCAGGGAGAGGACACCAGAAACATCACAAATAAATCGGATTGTACAGAAGCAAGCTACAAATGGGTCCGGCACAAGTATAATTTTGATAATCTCGGCCAGGTATTAATAGAATGGTAATCTGCTTCTTTGCTCCTTTACCTCCTTGACTTAAAACCTGTGCATTATTATCCCGTGGGATTTTCTTACAGGGCACACTACCAGTCGCAGTAAATATTCAGTTCACATACACAGCATTCTGTCTCTGTAAATCCCAAAGGTAGTGTTTCCAAGCAGGCATACACTTCTTTTCGGTACAGAACAAGCACATGTGGCTTCGTGGAGTACTTAATTGCTTCACTGCTACATAACAAACCAAATATATCTTGCAGAAGGGCTTGTCTAATAGAGCTGGACACTTTCAACCACCTCTGCAACACAGCCCTATTTTAGCAGCATGGTAAGGGCTAATTAGTCGGGAGCAGCAGAGACCTGGAGGGTGGAAATGAAGCTGCTTTTGTCTTCGGCTTTGTGGTTTTCAAATTAGCGCTCATTGCTGAACCAGGAGCTGGCATTGATAGGGTTTTGCTGCCAGGAGAAACCTTGGGCATCGAAGTGTCCCATTATCAGACAGGTAATGATGATCCTCAGACAGGAAAGGGCAAAGAGGAGTAAAATGTTAGAAGGAAAAGAGCTTTAGTGCAACTATGTCTAACTTTTTTTCCATGTATTTCTAGGCCCTGATGTCTCTCTTTGTTCTGGCCTCCAAGGACGGGTGGGTGGATATCATGTACGACGGCCTAGATGCTGTGGGAGTTGACCAGCAGGTACGTGCTCTAGCAGAGCTGTAAGAAATGAGTTGTCAAAGGTCGCACATTTTGGCTCTTGTTTTGCAAAGTACTGCTGGCTTCCACAGTCAAATGGGGTTATGGGGTTAGGATTGATGGAGGCGTTTAATCCAAGTCCTGGGGCGTGACGAGGAGTGCAGTGAAAAGTCTGGATTTGGACCTAGCCTTTTCCCTACAGATTTTGCAACACGACTGGTGTAACTAGGACAACCGCACCTATTGAAGAATGGTTTGACTTTTTCAGCAATTTGGACATTTCAGGAGGAAAAAAGTGCTTTGTGTAGGTACAGGTTTTCAGCGAGGGACTTACAATAGCTGCAAAGGATGCTACCGACCTGCTGTTGGCAGAACAGAGGTGGTTCTTCTGTCCTCAACGTGCTTTGTGTTTTGGGAGCATTCAGTTAAAATATCTCAGAGGGCTCTACTTTTCAGGAAGAGCAGAGCACACTGAGCTGCCTCAAAGGGGCACCCATGGGTTTTGTGGATGGGGCAGCTGCATCAGTTTGCTCCCATTTTTTTGAGGTTCAGTTGACATTTGCCTTCCTCCATTTCGCAGCCAGTCATGAACTACAACCCGTGGATGCTCCTCTACTTCATCTCCTTCCTGCTGATCGTGGCCTTCTTCGTCCTCAACATGTTCGTGGGGGTAGTGGTGGAGAATTTCCACAAGTGTCGGCAGCACCAGGAGGAGGAAGAAGCCAAGAGGCGGGAGGAGAAGAGGCTTCGCCGGCTGGAGAAAAAGAGAAGGAGTAAGGAGAAACAGATGGCTGGTCGGTAGTCTTTCCACATCTTTCTGAGTCCTGCTTGACCTTCCACACGACCCCTCCTACCTCCCCTCCCTGCCTCGCGTCTGGTGATCATTCTTCTCCCCAAAGCATGTCCAGCTATAAAATTTGCATGAAGGAAATAGTGTTGTTTTAGGCTGAGCAAGAAGCCATGGAAGCCTTTTTAATGGCTGCATGATTTGCAATGACCTTTCCATTGGAGGTTATTTAAATTAAAATATAATAATAATAATAATAATAATCAGACCTGGAGCTTCTTGGATAGCAGAGCTCAGTGTTACACAAATAGTGACAACTGCAAAGATCAGCAGTGCCGGATGGCATCATAAATCTTCTGAGTCATGAGCACTGTTGCCGATAACTGGATTCACTATTTGGCTTATTACAGCCTTCTAATGCCACAGTGATGTTACCTGTCCCATTTATCACGCAAGTTTATTTATTAGCACAGTAGCACCACTGCTATTCAAGAGTGTAATAAAATAATGGAGCCATCTCATTCTAGTAATGCTTAAAAACTCCTTAGAGAAACATATCAATGCATTTGCTTGAGAAATACAGATTAGAAAAAAAAAAAGCAGTTGAGGAGAGTAACTAACCAGACAAAATAGCACTGATGCAAATTGAACCAAACTCCAAACTGGATGTGCAAGCTTGCAGCCCTGCCTAGAGAAGGCTTTACAGATGAAAGGAGGCTAGACCTCCCCTGCTCGGCCAAAAGTCTCCAACCTGTCTTTTAGTCTTTTAGTCTTTTTTTCTTTTAATTTGGTTGAATAAGTAAGAAATCTGTCAGCCAGAGGCCACAGGTCAGAGGTACTCTTCTTCTCGCATGCTCTCTCTTCTGACTGAACTTTCTCCATTGCCCTTTGTGTCCATGGCCTCACGCTTTCCCTCCCTGGTCAGTCCGCCTGCTGCTCTCTCTGTGTCCCCTTTCACATCTCTTCTCTATCTTTGACAGACTTCAGTACTGTTTAAGAGACTGTCTGATCAGGCGCTTGTTCCGAAAGCTGGTAATATTAAGTCTGTTTTACTTTTTTTAATGGTCTAAGAGGTGTTTAATAGCTGTGACAGGCTTCATCGTGCAACCACGTACCACAACCGTGTCTCAGCCTCTCTCGGTTCAGCACTTACCCAGCACTTTCTTTTGGTCGCATCTTTAAGCCCCGTGAGCTTCACAGGTTTTGTAACCAATAGGATGTATCACACCAGCCTCTGGACATCAACCTTTGGTTTATGCCAAGAGCCTGGCTTTCTCAGTGGTCAGTGGAAAGATGGAGGCTTCCCTCAAGAGCGGTGGAGGACACGTTAGACTATTCTCAGTTAAGCGGGATACAGATGAAAAGATTTTGTTTTGTTTTGTTTTTCACACTAAGGAAATGCCTAGAAAGCTCTTTTGGTCAGTCCAAGTTCCCAAACACAGTTTCAGGCTGATGAGTTAGAAAATGTTTTTAAAGGCTGGATAGAAAGATCCCTATTTAAAGTTGCAGTTTTGGAAAGCAGACATTTCTGTAGAAGAAAAATAGATGTTTAGTTATTATTAATGACCTTATTTATAATGCTAGAGGAGCTAGATGAAGAAAAGACGTAAGTCTGGGCAATTTCCCAGCGGGAAGGAATCACAAACCATCCTTGGAGATGTAGTTATTCATTCAGTCCTATGAAATGCCTAATTAAAGAGGCAATAAACAGCTATTTTACTGAGGATCAAATATTGCTGAGTATTCAATCGCCATAAAAACCTTTCAAGAGCAAAGTATGAAGCCCTCCAAATCGCTTCAGAACAGTTTTCCCAATTTGCGTTCAGTGAAACGTTGGTTTTAATTGACCATGTCCAGCTTTGCCCTCGGAGGCAACAGATGTTGTTGCTTAGCTTCATTCTGCATGGTGGGAACTTGCAGACGATACCAAAGCTAGGGCTTTGATTACGCCACCAACTGCATGGGGGTTCTTTTCAGCTGGGCTTCCTGAGTGTCCCCAGATGCCCAAACCAACCTATGGATGTCAGACGTGGACAGATGCAGACATCTAACTGGCTGCACAGTCATTTCTGATTGTAGACTCTTCAAATGCGTTTACCCAATCGGACATCTGAAAACCAGAGAAGTGTATGAGATCCCAGCTCCGCGAGATGTAGGTAGATGCAGGAGTGGTGACTCCTGCGCTGGCCCAGCAGGATTTGTACAATGTCTGTCCTTCAGCAATGTCGTCTTCATCATCGTCAAGCGAGGGGGGTCTCGGGGATCTCTTGGGCTTCCGCCTGTGTATGTGGGAGAAGCACAAGAGCCCTTTCTTTTTCACAACGACCCCGTGAACCTGAGCCCACCCTCCACGAGGCACAAGGAGAGGATCCCGCAAGGAAACATCCCCAGTAGAGGCAACGGAGAGCCTGAGAGCCGTAGGGACCTCTGAAGGGGAAGGGAATTCTTGCCGTGTGTCCTGCCGGGTGATTAATGCCATTTCGTTCTTTTAGATCTAATGCTGGATGATGTATTAATGGAGAGCTCAGCCAGTGCAGTGCAAGGTACTGGGAAGTCGGCACGTCTCGTCCCACTTGAATGGCAGTGCTGTGTCACTAACGGCTGGCCACCGCTGCTGTGAGGCATCCCACTAAACCGTGTGTGTGGTGCAAAGCTCGTTTGCTTACTTCATGGCACACGCATATCATTCTGAACCGCAGGTCTGCAGACCTGGCTCAGGACTGACACTTGCAAACCCTTGATTTACCCCTTGATCATGTTATGTTCTTCAGTATTATTTTTTTCTGGTTTTCATTAAGACACTGTCAGACTTTTCATGGCTTTTTTTTTTATTCTCCTTTTTTTTTTGGTTTTTGTTTTTTTCTTAGAGAATAATGACTGGACTGTGAAATGGGTCCTTTATTGTTTACTCTAGCTTTCTAACCACTAACTTAGGAGTCTCTGAATGATTTGCAGGAGTGTCTCTGGAAGGCAGGCAGTCTCACTTCGGGAGGTTATTTCATTATTTCTCCAGCCCTTGCTCATTGCTCCACAAAGGCTGTGCTTCAGGGAAGCACGGTATTTTTCCAGCAAGGTAAAATTCAGTATAGTGCAAAGCCTCAGTGCTTTAATAGAGAGATCAACCGCACACCAACCCTCAGCGTGGACGTGCGGTTTAGCCGTTGTGCTGCCCAGCTTGTAAATTCTTCGTATCGATTGAGAGTCGCTCGATCCATGAGGCATCTTGCGAATTAAAAGAAATAAAGATGTCACCTCAAAGCCTTTCCAGGTCCTGGTGGGGACAGAGCAGCTGAGCTGAACGCTGCTGGGGGTTTGACCTGACCACCCCAACCAGGGCTCACTCGCGTCTCCCTTCCCCGTCCCCCCTCGCCAGGACGATGCTCAGGGCTGCAGATGTGTCCCTTGCTCTTTTTATTTTTAGGAGAAGCTTTGATCTGGCAAGCATTTTGTTTAATTCATAACTTAAGAATGTTAGCCTGAATAATTAAGAGGTGCCAACATAGAAACAAATATAGCTGTAATTTTTGACAAAAATAATATGCTAGGAATATTATGCCATTAAAACTCTCACCTGTGAACAAGCTCCCACCGCTTGAGATGGGAGCAGAGCTCCATCCATCTCTCTCATATTGCAGGGAGTTTTGATTAAATAAAAATTGCAAGGTGAGGGCTTTCGGCTTTCACTGCAGAGGATATCTCAGGGAGACCAAGGTTCCTACCTTCTAAGGCCGTGTTGGAAGTTATCACAACATGCTTTAATAAATCCTGAATCTCCTTCCCATTGCCATTCCTGGTATTTTTATTTCTTTGTCTTCGTTCTTGCTCTTCTTTGTAGGCCTCCTGTCCTCTCCTGCGAAACGAGGGCAGCAGGAGGGGGGTGTTGTCACTGGGTTTGGGGGTCTGATTATTTTTTCTTCTTTTTATTTGGTTGTGATTCCTCTCCTGGTCCTACAGAGCTACATCGAGGCTGGTTTATTTTATTTTTAAGGCACTGAACTCATTCCAAACCCCTCCGTTATCCCACGCAGGCTCAGAAAGACTCTTAGTTTGCCTTTTAAAAGTGTGCGATTGTCAGGTCTGTGCTTTGTGTTTCCTTTTGTTGTCTTTTCTTTGAATCCAGCGGTAGTGAATGTGCCAGCGTGAGGGAATAGAAGGATTTTCTTTCTGAACCTGGCTGTGGGGGATATGAGGGACTCAGTTCTGGGTGCTGTAGATGAACCTCCTGTGGTTCAGCGAGAAATCTGGAGTCGTGACCCCAAAACTTCCACACATCTCTGCACTTACAGAGGGCTTCTTTTCTCTTTCTGTGAAGATAAGATGGAGTATTGTGTGTATGTGCTGCTGCCTGGTGATTACTGAGATATTGTAATTTTATTTTTTCCCTTTTTTTTTTTTTTTTTTTGAGTCTACATTCTGTCATACTGGAATCTTCTCAGTGGAAATAATTTATCATTTTCCATTTTGCTTTTTTTTTTAATAAATCCATTCAGTACAATAAAAGCCAAGTAAAACACTGTATTTAAATAAAAAAAGTTCCTTCAGTGCAAACTATTTTTTAACCTAATAATATTCTTGAAACAGTTTGTAAATCCAGCTGCGTCACGGGCTCATTGCTCACTGGTTTGCCGCTGTCCTCCAGATATACTCAGACCTGCAAAGTAGTTAATTCCCTTATTATAGGAGAAGGAAGAAACTGGAGGAGACAGTAATGGAATTGTCCCACTCTCATGAATTCCAATTTCCCATGCCCACGCATCTCCGGCTTGAAAGCCACTTCAGGGAAAGTGGCAATTTCTGTCTTGACAGGGCTATATTTGGAGGCAGCCACTATTTGGAGATATTTCAGAGCTGCATGCCCAGCCCGATTCCCCCCAGGAAAATGCAGTTAATGGGAAGAGAGTGGCCCCGGCCCCATCTCCCGCGGTGCCGGCAGAGACCGGCCGAGCCCTGGGACTGTCTGGGAGCTGGTGGTGGCCCTGGGCTGCCTCCAGCATGATCACCGAACCCGAAGGGCACCTGGCCTGGGAGAAGTTAGAGTGGGATTAGGAATGGGAAATCTTTATCCTGCAACAGCAAGGGTCGTCGCCTTTCCAAACGGGCAGGAGAGGACGGCGATGAGTTTTGGGTACCCCAAAACCCAGGACACAGCCTGGGGCTGCCATGCCCTGCCTCCCAGCCCTCGTCAAGGGGATCAATTATAATCCCAAAGGATGATGCCAAGAGGAGTACCGAATGTCTGCTTGGGAAACAACTTGAGCTGAGAGCCTGTAAAAATGAGACGCTAAAGCCGAGTGCCCCCCCTGCCAGGCACCCACTCCCCTGGCCGCTGTGGTCCGCTTTGACCACCACGGCCCAGGATGAACAGGCGGGTAGGATTCTCCCAAACCGGCTCTCAACCAGCTGCAAAATCCCCTTCCTATCTGGGTTAGGAGGAGATTGCTTGGGATCCACTGTCCGAGCTGATTTTCTCCTGTGTAATGTTATCTAAACGTGAGCCACTTCTCCCTCTCTCCCGGCCCCCAGCCACAGTGAAGCAGCTTGGTTTACACCCTGTTCACCAGCCTGACGTCTCGTAGTGGGCTTTTGCTGTATTTCCCCACCTTCTTGCATTTTCATTCTGCCAATTCTTCTTTCGTTCATTTGCTCTCCTCCTCTTTTCTTTAACGCCATGTGTGCCGGGAAGCCAAGTTAACCTTTCCAGTAATAACCGAGACTAACCCAGAGCTCTTGTTGTTCTTGACACAGTGTATTGTAACAGTACAGTAATGTGGTGTTGTGTTAGTTGTGAAGTTCACCACCTGGAGTTTAACAGATGTCTGTATTTCCCAAGATGTTGGTATTGTTTAGATCTTTACTGCAATAATTAGAAATGATACTGTGTGATAGGGGGCACGGGCTTTGCACCTGGGTTATTATACATGAGCGATACCCAAATTCTCTGCAGAGCTGCACAGGTCGGGTTAAATAAATGGTGTATATAAAAAAGTGAAAAAATGGTTTATCTGTTCAGAAAGTTCCCTGCCCACCTAGACACAGTAGGTATTTATCGATAGTCCTCAGACAGCATGCTAGCTTGTGTGTGGTTCATCTCGCGGTACTATCTGTATTGCACTAATACGCATGGCCGGCATGCGGAGACCGGTGAAGCGCGTGGTGGCATGATTCATAAACAGGGTTGGCAAATCCCCTCTTAACAAAGTTAATGGGGAAGGATGAAACATTTCCTAATGGTAATTTTCTAAGGCTGCAAGGGCATCTGCGAGAGCAGCATCCAGAGACGTTTGGCTGTGGAAACCTGGGGGCATGTGCTGGGAAAGGTGAAAAGGAGCTTTGGGGTTTGGGAGAGGGGGGTGTGAAGGGCGAGAAGCCTTTGCAGATATATGAACAATTAGCAACCCTGCTTATAAGGTCATGCACGGTCTAATCCAGGTGCAGGAGCCCTGCACAGGAAATATTTTACAACCTCTCTCTAAATCCTCTCTCTGTTCTAACGGCGTCGGTGCTATTCTGTAGGATTTGGAATTACCCGTCAATCAAAGCTAAGAAAAAATTTGAATTCCAGTGTAATTATTCATAAGTAAATCTATTGCAAGAAAAGGCAGAAACATTGACGTTTTTCTTTTTGAATGTGAATTATACATAAATGTAGAAGAAGTGATCCAATTACGATGGTGTTTCTTTCTGAGATGATAAGTTGGTTCATAAAAATAGGTCCTATTCCTCACCTAATTGTATTCAAACATTTTAGTTAATTTGCTACTCATAATTTAGCATAATGTGATGGAGATATCTTGACTTTATGGAGATTTATGCAGATTTTGAGTTATCTGACAAAGTCTTAGGAGTGAGTCAGCAGCTACCAGTCTGCTTTTTTGTAAGCACTCAATAGGTTCAGCATGAAAATTCATTTCATAGACCTTTTCATCGATATCGTGCTTTAGCAGTCAGGTACAGATCACCTAAAGCACACTGAAGATCAGAAAGTGAATATTAATATTGCCTTTCATTTGATGACACTGAAGCAGAATTTTGGGCGTCCCAAACCCCTACAGAATAAAACTGCTGAGTGATTTGTCTCTCTGGTCCCTGGGCTGTAAGGGAAAGGTCTGTCTCTATGGAAAAAACAAAACTTCTCTGATTTTTCAGGATCCTGTTATGAAGTAGGGAGCACATGAAACCATTAAATCTATGGGTTTGATTGCAATGTCATTGGCTATTGACAAAGTGAATTCTATTTCCAGGCAAAATTTAATCTTCTAAAATGAGTTTTCCCCGAGGGCAACCCAAACCTGTGCTTCGTGGCTCCATTCTGCCCAACTTTTTGCTCGGAATAATGTATCAAACTGTACATTTGCTCAACAGCACTAAATATCAAGCCGTGTAATTCTTACAGCTCAATAATTTTCATAACCAGTTGATCATCTAATTATGAGAGTAATATTATACTCTGACATATGCAAGACAGTCCTTTCCACTTCAATCTGCATTATAATGCCTCCTTGAAAATTGTACTGAATTATATACTCAGCCTTGGCATTTCCTCATTAGAGATTAGGTGAGTAAATGAGTTTATCTCTAGGAACACTCTGGGTCTAAAGAGCATGTGTCATCCCTGAGGCAGCCGAACACGGGAATGAATTGAACAGTGAAATCTGTACTTTGATAATCTTGTCTAAATGGAGGATCGTTATTTTCTAATCGCTAAGGCTGACTGATCAGTTTTCCTCGGTACTTTTATGGACCATTTTTCAGGGCTCTGACAACCAAAGTGTTGAATTTTGTTCTCTCTACAGTTTATTGCAAAGAACATAATATGTCTGAATTACTTCTTCAAAGACCACCGCTAACTCAGTGGCCTGTATTTTTATGCCATTGTTAGTAAAATCTGTCCCCAACATCTGACCGTTAATTAGGTTTTCAGATACTTTGGGGACTTTTAAGGTCAGCAGAAACAAAAGTTGTTGTTTTAATTTAAATTTCCCTACAGGGAAAACATTCTTTAGCAGCACAATAGTCCCAGCTCACCTTGTCCCTGATGCCATAAGGCTGAGTATAGCGCATGTCCCACTGAAGATGTTTAATGGATATGAGATGACGGGAGCCCTGCTGTGTATTAAAAATGGTAACATGCCAGCAAGAACAAAGGAAATAAAAAAGACAGCATGTTGCTGTAATCGGTCTAAAATTTATCATCCTTGGAGTTGGAAAGTGAGGGTGCGTTGACTTCAGAAAGACGCAGAGAAATGACTTGACGTGCCTCTCCGCTCTCCTCCTCCCCGCTGCAGAAGCACAGTGTAAGCCCTACTACTCGGATTACTCCCGCTTCCGCCTCCTGATCCACCAGATGTGCACCAGCCACTACCTGGATTTGTTCATCACTGGCGTGATCGGCCTCAACGTGATCACCATGGCCATGGAGCACTACCAGCAGCCAAAGGTACTGGGACAGAGAGGGGGAAAAGCGGGGGGAGGACGTGCTCAGCCACGGTGGGATGTGCCGATGGGCAGAGTTAAGGCCAGTTTTGCTGTTAGACCTTGGGGCCCCCATTCACCATGCTCGACTTGTCCCTTTGCCCCGTGGAGCGTACCCATCCTCCAGCTGGCTTCCAGCTCAAATCATGCTTTCGGTACCTGGATCCCATTGCACCTCTTCCTTCTAGTTAAGTGCAAACGGACTGCTTTGAAAATGAGGATGGGAGCAGGTTGGTTTGGTTTGCTAGACGAGATCGTCATTGAAATCTGCCATTTGACTTGGGTTTTCCACCAAAAAAAAGGAGAAAAAAGGAAAAAGAATAGAAGAATTTGTGAAATGTTTCTTTTTGCAAAGTTTCTTCTAAATCCCCAGTGACCCACAGGGCCAAATTTTCACGAGCACTGGATTCCATCCTGGTCTTTAAAATACATTTTAACGTATTAGTGTGCTAAGTTCCTGGGTCTTTGTCATACTCTGAAAATAAAAACAGCCTGTCCTGGGATGTCAAGTCTCTTGTGCATAAGAATGAAATGGAAATAGCTGCCTTTGCCATATAACTTGTACTTATTTTTATTAGCCACTTTCAGAATGAATAAATATAACACACAAAAGGAAGAAATATTCTTTAAGACTAGACAGGACTTGAATACTTAATGTAAAAAAACCCAAACAACTAAGGCAAACGAGGGGAAAAATATCCTCCAGCCTATCATAAAGAAGCCAAGAAGTGAAAGGGCACAAGCCCAATTTATTTCTTCTGTTCAGGTCACCTTTAAATACCCTGGAAGGTTCATTGCGTGATTCAGTCATTTGGTGATGAAAAAGGTTGTTGGCCAAGAAGCCTGTATTGGAATCACTCTTACTGCAGTCGTTCTGCAGCTACATTTTCTCTTGTATTATAAAAATGTTGGGCAAGCTTTTGTTTTTAATTTTCTTTAGGAAAATAACATTTTGTCTCTAAGCCTCTGGTATGCGGCATCTGGGTAATAACTCCAAGCTTGGGTTGTGCTGAGATGACAGCGCAGTGAGAGCCATGCACATGCTTGAGAGTCTTGCTGAATCAGGGCCCCGAAATCACTCTGGTCTGGGTTACTGGTGGCTGGGATCCTGCAGATACTTAAAAGGCTAAATGTACCGGAGAGCTTTATATCCAAACTAACGATCGCTTGGTGTGTTGGTGTTGAAAGGGGTTGGTGGTGGGATACCCCGGGATGCCCTGTGGATGAGATCCCAGCCGGAGATGCTGCGGCTGCCATAGAGAGGAGGGGCTGCGGGTGTGCATAGAGGTGGTTTGAGCAAAGAGCAAAATCTGCTTTTGCCAAATAAATATGCTCATTTGCTGGCAGAGCCCAGGTCCCCTGCAGTATGGCAGGGAGGCTCATTCAGAGCTTCCTTTGGCAGCTGGGCTTGTATTTCTCGGGCGGGTGAGGTGGTTTTCGTCCATGGATGCTCAAAGCTAAACTGTAGCATGAAGGCAGAGTGCATGGCTTAAACCCCTTTACTATGACTTCTCCCACCTGGGGATCAGCAAGTCTTGGTTTTGGTCTGAGAGCCCTCTGTTGCCATTTCCCACGTTCCCTACAGTGCCCTGGACACAGTAGTTACCACCCCGTTTGCCAGCAGGGAGAAATTCAACGCACGTTACTTAAGAGGCCGTGCAGTATGCTGCTACCACAGTGCTCCTTCACGAGCAGGACTTTGGGGATGAAATCACCTCTGACGTGGCTTAATGCCTGACTGTGCAAGAGTTGTCCCAGCCAGGAGGCACCTGTAGTTAGTGGCCAGGCCGTGACTTCTGCAGAGGGAAGGGTGGGCAGAGGAAAACCCGAGGCACTCGCTCCTGCTGGCGTGCCAGCCCTCTCTCCTGCTCCTTGCCAAAAGCTCAAGGTGAGGGGTAAATGACAGGCTGCCACAAAGAAGCCATTTGGCCAGCTCTTGCACAGACCCGGCCAGCCCACAGCTCTTGCAGCAGTGCACAAACGAGCAAGTGAGATGAAATTCAGCTTTCTGCCGAAAGCACGAGGGGCTTTGCGCTGCTGACACCTGCAAATGCAGCAGCTCCTACCACTCACCCAAGCGATCCCAGCTGAGGCCGCGTTACTGCCCTTGGGGTTTGAGTTGTGCCTTGGGTTTGTGTCAGCCCTTCCTGTGGATTATATCAGCTGGTTTGGGGCCAGGCAGAAATGCAATCTGTGCACTCCCTGAAGTACTGGGACTTTTCCCTGGGACGTTTATCATCGGAGAGAACCCACAGCTGGAGATTTTTAGCTGTAGTTTGGAAACGAGTAACTGGTGAAAGAAGAGGAGGGCAGGTTTGCAGCAAAGCCCCTCAGCAGAGCTAGCTCCTAATCCCGGTCCTGTGTCCACATCCCAGGTCCTTGATGAAGCCCTGAAGATTTGCAATTACATCTTCACCGTTATCTTTGTCCTGGAGTCTGTTTTCAAGCTTATCGCCTTTGGGTTTCGTCGCTTCTTCCAAGACAGGTAACAAAAGCTCCAACCCGATCGTGGGACCAGCAGCAGGTTTCCAGAGACAGCTGCCCAAATTCGGTGTCCTGGACCCCAATGCTTTTCCCGATGATGTCAGTCTGACACGTGTGAACGCTTTTTGGTGTGACTGATTGAAACCTGGGTAGCTGGAGGCTTGGGGTGTGGGTTGGAGAAAGGATCGTGCGTGCCAAGGAGTGTGATTGCACTGCTTTGGCCCTTGGGAGTGGACAAAATAGGAGCGAGTCTCACACGGAGCAGCCGGTTCTCTTCTCACACCAGTTGCATGTCCATATAATCAAGAGGACCTGGTAAAGTGACAAAATTTATGAGAGAGAGAACCTGGTCCTGAGTGGAAATGAAAGAGAAAAGGGACCTCTTTTTATGCAGACGCAGAGCAGCAGATGAAATTGCTTCTTCCTCTAGATTTTCACTCTCTTACCTCGCAAGTACAGATTTTATGTCCTTGGTGAATCTTTCTCCTCCCATTTTTGTCTCCTTCAACGTCAATACCAAGAGCGCTGGCACTGAGCAGGGTCTGACACGAGCCCTTCAGCAGCCGGGGGATGGTTCCTCCCCTCTCCCCACATTCTGGGTGTCCGTGCTGGGATTATGCCTCTCTCCAACCTGGCACAAATCCTTGGGGTCTTTCCTTCACCGAGCGTGGCTTTTTTGTTGCAAGGGCTGGACGTGGGGTCTGGTTCTTTCTAGGGCAGATCTCACGCTGAGGTCCACGAGTGTCGTGTCTAGAAGTGGCCAGACAGATACCACAGTGTCTCCCCTGAGGTCTGCAGCCTCTAGGTAGAAAACTGCCCAGCTTTTGTTTCTGTTTCCCCTCAGTCAAGTATATCTTTGGAATTGGCTGATTTTCTAATGAGATGCATTAGTTATAGTGATTTCATAACATAACTGCTTTTGTATAATACCCTCAGAAAAATGCTGCAGATTCATTTGAGTGCTAGAACCATTGAAATGACTGGAATTCGTGTGAAACGAGCTACCTCCCCTTGCCAGCTTCTTAGGCGATGTTAAACTTCATTTTGTGTTCTCTCCAGATGGAACCAATTAGATCTGGCAATTGTGCTGCTGTCTATCATGGGCATCACTTTGGAAGAGATCGAGGTGAACGCTTCGCTACCAATTAACCCCACTATTATCCGAATCATGAGGGTTCTCAGGATTGCTCGAGGTGAGACGAATAAAGCAGAATTGACTTGTGTTTGAGGTGCAAGGTCCCCTCCAGGAGAGAGTTAAGTGTTGGGAAATGGTTCTGGGGCACATCCCCATCACGATGTGCATAGTTCTGGCATCACCAGGCTGTAAACAAATAAAAGAACAATGGGGGGAAAATAGTTGTGAGGAGCCAAAAAGCTGAGCCAACTGACCATGTGTTTCTACCTTAAGAGGACTTGAAGGCTGAGAGCTTAGAAATAAAGGAGAAATAGCTGTGGCTGTAACTCCCAGAGACGTACCTGGAAAAAATATGCCAGTCAAATCAAAGTCATCTCTAATGGGGATTAGAGAACACAAGCTCGAGTACGTTGGCTTGAAAAGACAAGCATCTAATAAATCTAATTTCCCGTGGGACTTTACATCTCACCACTTGGTGACAAAGCATGCCTCGTCACTCTGCATCCATCTGTCCGCTCAGACTTGTAACGACACGCGCCCGAGTTGGGAAGTCAGCTTCTTCAGGGCCTGATTTTTCAGAACAGGGAGGTCTCAGGGCCAAATGAGGAAGACGTAAAATGTGAGCACTTGGGCCCTTAATAAAGTACTTCTAGGCCCCCCTGAAGGGCAATGTTGTGCTCTGAGGCATAATTGCTCTGATTGCAGCCCTCGTCTAACCAAAGAAGGAACTGTAGAAGAAATGCTGCTGTGTCTCAAGGGGGAAATAAAAGTGTTTTTCCTGTGCATTGGATCCCTTTCAGAACTAAAAATACATGCGGTTTCCAATTGGAAATGCAACCTTCTGGAAGAGATGTGTAAATCGGTTCCTCAGTGAATCAAGTATGAAAGTGGGTAGCCTATGGAAGTGGGAAAGTAGCCCCAGGGCTGGGAAAGTAACTGCTCGCGATAACCAGAGGAAGGAGATGGGCCCGACACAGATCAAGTGGGGAAAGGAAAAGCCGGGCAGAACAAAAACGCTTTCTCTAAGTCTCAGGATAGGTGATGCTGCTATTCACGGGATTTTAATAGTATCCAAGCAACCAGGAGCGATGTAAAAAGGCCAGGGACGATAGCGGCTAATGGAGAACACTTGACGTGATTTCACATTTCTCTTCCTATAATCTGTGACTCCTGGGAGAGGGACTGAGTTTGTGCCTCCGTGCTAACGCTGCCGTTACCATATTACGAACGTGTTTTCTGCAGTGTTGAAGTTGCTGAAGATGGCTGTAGGGATGAGAGCCCTGCTGGACACCGTGATGCAAGCGCTGCCGCAGGTAACCCACTGCCATATCAAACCAGATCTCCTCTGGCCCAGAGCTAATTTCCTATTGCAGAGGAATGCTAATCATTTTATCTTTACTGTCATTAGAGAATCACATTTCCCTTCCGAAGCACAGTCTGAGATACAGTCCTCACATTGAGGTCATTTTTCCCCTGAAGCAATTTAAGTTTTGGATTAAAGAATACAGCAAGAAACAGGTCTGGAACAAAAAAATCAATGTTCTTTTTTTGTGTTTTTTTTCCCCCATTTCTTTTTCTCTTTCCAGGTGGGGAATCTGGGTCTTCTCTTCATGTTGTTGTTTTTCATATTTGCAGCTCTTGGAGTGGAGCTGTTTGGAGACCTCGGTGAGTCTTCCCATGCCGGTGGAAGGGGTGGGAGCGGTGTGCGAGCGGGGGTCTCACGGCTGTGCTTGGTCCCGCAGAGTGTGACGACACGCACCCCTGCGAGGGGCTGGGACGGCACGCCACCTTCAGAAACTTTGGGATGGCCTTTCTGACGCTCTTCCGAGTATCCACGGGAGACAACTGGAATGGGATAATGAAGGTAAGAGACCCACGGAAAATGAGTATTGCCTATAATTGCTTAATTAGAAGCTGTCCGCTCTGCTCCAGACTGGTAACGATGTCCAGCCAGGACACTCACGTCCTGCAGTGAGCTGGTCTCTTCATTTGTGCACTGGGAAAAGTCTTTAACGTTTCTGTTCCCTCCTCCCAGCAATGCAATGTCTATCGTTGCAGGCTCCTGGCACGCTCCATGTATTCCCTTTTTTACACTGAGAGAGCAACTTAAAAGGAAGGGGGAAAAATAAAGGGACTCATCTCTCAAGTAGCACGAGTTCAGCTCAGTAACATGCATTGGATTTCTTTTTTTCCTTAAAAGTCTTGTTGGTATTACTTTGGTGTAGTTTGGTTTTTTTTTCTGGGAAAACCCAGGTTTCTGAGAGAGAGTCTCTCTTAGGGGACAGCCATAAAGGCATGCTATTGTGAAGAAATCTGGTCTATGAATACACAGGGTGCTAGCTAGTCTGAAGGAATCACTTCTCTGTCCATTTGTAGCCCATGGTGAGTGTTAGGTGGCCAAATTCTTAATGACACGGTGCGAACTTGAGGAAAGAGTGTCTGCAAGCCCAGCTGCTGTGGGATAGCAGATGGGTTGTAGCTGCACCCTGCTTTCCCTGGGTCTGTGCCACATTCTTGTGTATTTGGTCTCTAACATGGCAAAACAGCCTTTCCTTTAGGAGCAGCAGGGTGTCGATGTCTGATGTTGCACAGGCCAAGGACAGTTTCCTCTGAGCCTGCTTGTGTTGACTAACGCAGAAACGTTAAGGTTTTACTGGCAAGCATTTTGCTATTCTAAACATGAAATTGGCCCAATCTTCTCAATTTTCTTCATGAAAGGAGAACCCATTGCAGCCAGCTGACCAGACAGCAGACCAAGGGCCTTGCTGGAACCTCTTCACAGCCCTCCATCGTTTCCCCCCCTGTTTCCAGGACACGCTGCGAGACTGTGACCAGGAGTCCACCTGTTACAACACCGTCATTTCACCCATCTACTTCGTCTCCTTCGTGCTGACAGCCCAGTTTGTCCTGGTGAACGTGGTGATCGCCGTGCTCATGAAGCACTTGGAGGAGAGCAACAAGGAGGCTAAGGAGGAGGCAGAGCTCGAAGCAGAACTGGAAATGGAAATGAAGACGATCACCCCTGGGCAACACAGCCCCTCGGACATCTTTGCATGGACAGGCGGTGCTGGTGGAGAGAGACCCGAGAGCCCCCGGGGATGTACCAATCCCATGCAAATCAAGGTGGATTCTCAGCTCTCATTAGTTTACCCTATGGTGAGAATCTCAGTTGGCGGGTGAAGAGGGCTTGAGCTGCATATTTGCTAGGGGAAGACATGCACGAGTCGGTAATGAAGGAGTGGGTGTACTGTACGTCTAGGGCTTGTGTTCCTCGCTGTCTGCTGACTGTTGCGTGATGTGGGAACCCACGCTCCAGGGAAGAGACCCTAGGCAGGTCTCCAGACCACCTTGATGCATCTGTTGGGAGGTAGAGAGCTTTGCAATTTGTTCTGGAGATGTGCCCGAGCCACCAAGTTCAGAGCTACCTCCAAATTTGCTCTGATCCAGAGTTTGGGCTAGGTTCTTTGTGATAGCAAAATCATGAGCATAATGTGTTTGCTTTTCTAATGCAGACCATGAATCACAACATAAAAGAGGAATAAAACTTGGCTAATCTTTGCTTAAGTATTAAATTTGTTTTATGTAACCTCAATTTAAAATCCATCCCCACAGTCAAGCTTGTAAGAAAAGATTATTTTAACAATAGAATAATCCAGAGGGGACTCAAACCTGAGCTCACCAGAGCTGGTGGCAAAACTCCCACCAGCAGGAGCAGTGCCGGAGCAGGGCTGTAATGTGGTAGCTGCTACGAGCTGCAACAAGTCTCTCTAAAGCACAGTTTCTGGATGAAGACTCAGTTTGAGGAATGAGAGAGGTGAGGTCAAGACCCAGACAGGTCCTGCGGGAGGGAACTGAACTGGAATTATACAAGAAAAACAGTCCAGCCTTTTTTTAGTCTTAGCTGATTGCAAATTGGGTTAAACTCTACACAGACCTCATTAGCCTTTATTACATCATGATTTCACAACAGCATATCTTGGCCTCTGCCTGGGGCCGACTAATAAGTATTCTAATGCATGAAAAACTCATTTATGATCTTTAGTCCAAGGATGAAAAAGAGTAAATCCCTGCTTAAGCTTTGTTTCAGTTCTTAAGCTACTGGAAATTTCTGGTGCCATTAGGAGTCACTGGTGTCTGAGATGGAGTCCAAAGCTGCTCTTTGGCACAGGAAAAAGGAGTTCAGGGCAATATGGGGAAATCCAGATTCACTACGTCCTCTGGGAGGAAACAGCACGTCCCAACTCTTGTTGTACATGTTAAGCAGAGTACTGGCAAACTGTCCTCAGCACTGTTGTCCTGCATCAGTACTCACACTGGCAAAAAGAGAAATTGCAAAATCGCAAGACAAATCAGTGGGAAGGATACCCTGAGCTCTTCAGTCTGTTAAACCTGCCCTCTCTGAAGGTGGCTTTGGAAAGAGCTTATTCTAGTCATAATCTCCAGAGTCTGTTTCTTGCTCTTTCACTCAAACAGAAGCCTCAAAAACCTCCAGGAGATTTTATTCTGACTATTTATTCTCCCAGCCAAAATCTTCAGGACAAATCTGATGCTTGAGCACGATAGCAGAGGAATACAATTCCCAGGACACGACCCTGCAAGGACACGTGGTCAGCATGCTCTTTTGCTTGCCTGTTCCCCAGGATTTTTGCACTGTGTGCTGTTTGACTGTAACGATGGTCCTCATTTCATTGTATGCAGTAGGCGTTCCCTACATGAAAGGTGCAACCCTTAAATTGCTCCCATGCTGCCTGCAAAAGCCAGACCCTGCTCTGTATAACCTCCCGTTGTCCGTGCTGTGGCCAGCTGGTTTGAAGTTGGCCAGGACAACTGAGGCACCTCAACCCGTGTCTGGTACGTGAATTAGTGACCTGACGCGTGGCCATCCTGGGCTTCTGCGGCTTTTATGGACAGGATGCTCAGCCTCTCTTCAAGTCAGGTTATTTTAATTTATGTGACCCTGGATATGGGTTTAGGTGTCAAATATTAGGTCTTGCTCAAAAATATGGACAGTGGGTATAGAAACCTTACAGCAGTAGTGTCCTGTAGATCAAGTATCAAGATGCTGCTGTACTGGCCCCATTACACAGCTCAGATCCCAGGAGTAACAGGCCGTGTTTGCTGAGAGCGAGACTTGTCCCCGAGGAGGGCCCTGAGTGGGAAAGCCACGGTCCCGGGGCAGGCGGCGTCAACCCCGTCTCTAGTAATGTCTGAGAAAGCTGTCACTGCTCACCGTGATATTACTGCACTGTTCTCTCTCCTCTCCTGCCTCACCTCTCCTGTCCTGTTGTTTCTGTTACTGCTCTTCTCCCTGAATGTTTCCGTCTCCCCCCATCCTGTTTTTTTTTTTCCTTTTGTTCACTGGGTTTTATACACTGTCCTTTTTTCTCTCTGTCTCTGTCCCTTGCTTTTTTTCTCTCTCTTTTTGGCTCGCTCTATCTTTCTGCATGCTATACACCACCCCTCCTAGGAAAGGCACTTGTTTGATACCATATCACTGCTGATCCAGGAATCTCTGGAAGGAGAGCTGAAGCTGATGGACAACCTGTCAGGCTCTGTGTGCCATCATTATGCACTCCCAGCTCCCGAATATTACAACTCTGAGAACCAGGTTAATATTCCTAATTTCCTGCAAAGTCTCCATCCAAACTCGATTTGACTGAGACCTTTAATAGAGAGTTAAAGTTCTTTACTTTATGTAATGTAGTCACAGGGATTTTGAAGCATAAGTCATTTTGGCTTTTTCTGTGGGAGTTGAGATAGTATCTTGGTTTATGATGTTGTATATCAATGCAAGAGGAAAAGTACAGGCTCTGAGTTTCCCTCTTCAGCACAGTGAGAAGTGTTTCATTGGGATTTACTGCTCACAAGTGCTGTAGGGAAAGTGTACAAAATACCGTCTCCATCCTTCAGTGGGGAGCTTGTATTTGGCTTCTTGCTCCTAACCAGGGCTCTGTAGCAACGTTGGGACACGTCTGCAGAGCCTGGAGTACGGCGTGAGGTTTTCCCAGAGCAGAGCCTTAGCTGATGGTGATCATAAAACGATCTCTACATTTTGTGCCTACTTACACTGCATGAAAATCCAGTTTCGAATGATTTACCTAAAGAGGCTTCTTGCAAGTGGGTCATTGTAAACTAGATCCTCATCTCTGATCTAAACTGAATTTAGAGGGCGAGGCAGCCCTTAATGCTATACTTAAGTAATCGTGTCCTCCAGTGCTTTCTCGAACAGGGGCTGTAATACTTGTTTAAAATTAGTTCATTTACTTCTCAGGATAAAATACCTACTTTCTCAAGCCTGTTATTCTTTAGAGCAAATATTTTTTCCCTAAATCACAGCAGTGACCATAATAATAATTCAAGCATACCTATTTTTTCCTGCAGTTGGAATTGAGCAAATTCCATATTTCTTGATGTATTTTTTTTTCCTTTCTGGCTAAAAATAGCAGAAGTTTTCTTGTTAAATCAGTGTGCTTATTTATGAGCTCACTGACACTCTAAATTATCCAACTCGGTGGTTCATTAGAGAAAAGGAACAAGCTTAGGTAAAATGAAATCCTACTGCAGATCTTTATATAGCGGGATAACATGTCTCCCTCTGATTGCTGCATATCGCTTTCCAGATTGAGATCTATTAAGCTATAGGAAGTGGTTGCCTCTAAGAATTGCCGGAGGAATAGAGACAGTAGCTTTGGCAGGGAAGGCAGAGGGTCAGTATGAAACTCGGCGAGAGCTGGTTGGAAATTTTTTGTCACAACATTTTTTACCAGAAAGTGCTACTGCAGCAAAAAAAATGGCTTTGTTTTGACATTTTTTTAAATGAAAAAATATAGCATTCCAGTTTGCAATGGCTTTTTCTTTGAAAATTTAAGCTATTTTATTCCCCCCCCCCCGTAATTAAAGCCCGTATAAATCAGTTGAATGTTTCCAACAAAGTGTTTTGATGGCTTCAAACTCAATTTTGGGAGAGGGGAGGCTTAAGCGAGGGTGATGTTTTGTTTACATTTTGGCTTTTCTGTTCGCACCATTTGTCATGTTCTCAGGCCAGTCAGGAATTTAGAGCAGTGCTGGGACTTGCTGAAAGCAACCTGATTAATAGCAGCTCCCGGCAGAGCAGCTCCATCAGGCAGGAGCTGCTGGTGTCCACCACGCTCCAGCACAGCCTTTCCCCGCACGCCTGGGCTCCGGTCGGTGGGTCCCCATTAGGGATCAGCGTCTTCACACTGGCAGCCTTTGCTAAGATGCTTTTTTTGGGGAGCCTCATATGAAATCAGGAGCTCCTCCGAAGTGTCTCTCTCATCCGTTGCCAGCGGACGCCTGTGTTAGAGGAGATATCAAACCCAAGGTTAGATGAGAGGAGCCTGACCCTCTTACTTACCTCAGCCGAAGTTTTGAGCCTCTCAAGGTTCACTCACCACTGGGTTTATTTCACCCCACTGGTGCCATTTCTAAAAGTGAGAAAATCCAGCCCTTTGACAACTTGAATGCAACAGATCTGGGCCTCTGTGGTTTCTCTTGGAAGATATATTGCTGTTGAAAGACTTTTCAAGCATAGACGATAGGAAAAAAAATAGGCACAGCGAGAAATGAAAAGGAAGCACCTGGGACTTGTCCAGAGCAGGAGGCTCCTGCAAGCGTGAGCCAGGTCTGTAGGTTACCTGATGAAATGCTGTCCCCGGTGCCGTGGGCATCAGCCTCGGACACGTAGCCAGGGTGGGGATTTGGGGAGGGCTGAGCCTGCACTTCAGGGCAAACATCCCTCCTTGCAGTGCCTGGTAGCAGGGATGCTGCTCTGGGGGAGGTGCTGCAGTCCCCTTTTCCCCCCCTTTCTCTCCAAAACCTGGAGTGACGTTTCACATTTCTTATAAAAAGACCTCTGTGTCTAGGGAGAGAGCTTCACCAATATTTTGATAAAGATTTTTATCAATTACTCGAACGCCCTTCAGCAGGGATGCGTTTGTGCGAGACGCACCAGTAGAGCGTGGGTGCGGCAGTGCAGCACCTATTCCCAGCTCGGGTTTGCTCAGAGCCGGAGGGGGCTGTTGGGCCCAGGGCTGGGGTGGCATTTGGGGCTGAAAGACACAGGCGGTTCTTTTAGTAGGACAGTTATTGGTGCTTACCCAGGCACTGGAGGCTCTTTAGCAGGCCAAAACTCACTGAAGGCTCCGGGAAGGCATTCACTGATATAAATCAAGCCTTAAGTATCTCCCAGTCCTTGTTTAGCCATTAGGAAGTTAATTATAGTCTCACCTGCCTCTCGGGGAGGGGGAGGTCCCCATACCCTCCCCGGAGCACAGAGAAAGTCATGCTCCATACCCCACCTGCGAAATGATTTTGGTGTTGGGGAGTCTTTGTGGACTCAACCAGATTAGCTTAGAGGCCAAGAAAACAGCATGGTTATTGGGTAGGAACAACTTCAGAGAAGTCAGAAGATCTTGAAGCCTCTTGTATTTGATCATAGGCAGAAGGATAAATATCTCTAGTATGAAAGTAATGTTACTTTGGCTTCTGCATCTAGAGAGGAGAACAGCAAAATACAATGCTAGCTTTAGTGTATGGTTTTAAACTCCCTCCCAGATCATTGGTAAGCACTTAAGTATGAATGTCCCACTCTTTTTTTCATTTCTTTGTTATATTTAATTTCTTTAACGTTCTGTCCCTGGTACCAATGTGCATGATGTAGCTTCTCCCACTGCAGGATATTGCTTTAGTATCTAGAAGTATTTAGATTATGATACTTTTTTTTTCTTTTCCAAAAGATTTGTGTCCTGGTTTCTTATGCTTAATCATCTCTCCCTTTAGATCCCTCTAGCTGAGATGGAGGCTCTGTCTCTGACGTCAGATATTCTCTCTGAAAAGTCCTGGTCCTTAGCTCTGACGGATGACTCTTTTCCTGATGATACTAACACACACTTACTTAATGCTCTGGAAAGCAATGTACATACACTGGTCGCTGTATAGTCTGATGTTTACAGGGTTCGAAATACTGCTTCCACCTCTCTGCACCTGCCTAATGGCATTTTCAGTTCAGGCCCATTTCCAAATAGCACCAACCTTTCCCCTGAACAGGACGTTGTCCTGAATGCCATTAGGTCCTGGGTTGTTATCGCTCTTGTCCACAAACTTGGCTCCTTGCGAGGAACAAGTATTTATTTCTGTTTTTCCTTTGGCGTCTTATGTAAAAACACTGTGTTTTCTACAAGTAAAATAAATAGTAAAAAAATGCTTTGGAAAGCGTCAAGGTTGAAATTTCCTCCCCATCTGAAACAAATCAGTGATGCTGCGTGGAAGAGACACTCATGAGCTAATGACTCGTGTCCTCTGCTGAGGGGTCATCTACAACCCTTTGGTTTGTAATGGATTTTTGTCTTTATGAACAGAGGCACCACAAGGCTTTTTGCATGATTGGTGCCAGACTATTTGTTTTACAAATATCAGATGGGGATCTCTCTGAGATACTGCTTGTTTCCTGAATTCTTACTAGCAGTCATCCCGCTGGAAAAAAAAAAGAAAAAAAGTTTGGACTATTTTGTGTCTTTTTGAATTAAATAACCAGTATTTTGAACCCTGCCTTAACCATCTCCTCTTTGAAACATTAGACATTTTTAGCTGTGTAGCGGTCAAGTGCTTTTTTTCTGCTGTACAACAGACATAACTCCTTTTCCAACATTTTTGGATCATTCTTGTTTTCTTTGTTGTTGTTCATGTACCTGCCTTTAGATGTTTGTGTTGTTGATAAATTTTCTGCCATTCTAGTTGACTGTCATCCTAATTAGCACTTATTTGGGAAACATCTCTTAAACCGTGACAATATTTCCCATCATGCTTCATGGCATCACGTGCAAAAGATTTTGTAAACTACGTTTAACATTTTGTATGGGACTTTTTGTTTCAAAATGAGCTAGTCTGGAGAGCTGGACTGAGGAGAGAGCCCTTCTAGTTTTGAATCAGTTTAGACAAACCTGTTTGACAGCATAGCAAAGTCTCAAGGGTTATAGCCAAGAGAGATGGGTTTTCTGCAAAAAAAGAGCAAAACTAGGTTGAACAAAGGGGTTTGTGAATTTGTGTCAATACCAACAAAGTGCCTTGGTCAAAACAGTTTCCCAAACTCCTGAAAAACTGCAAGCTTTCATTGAAATCTTTTCTAAATGCAGTATTTTTACACTTCATTTAGACACAGCTTTGGTTGAAAAATATCTCAGAATGTTTTGTTTGACTCAAAATAGATTTGGGTTGGGATTTTTTTTTCGTTCACAGAAAACTCAGATTTGATTTTCAGTCAAGCCAAAACAACATGTTTTTCAAAACTACCGGTGAACCAAAAAGTCATGTGCTCCCACTGCTCTGTTTGTGAGCTGGACTCAGAAGATCATTTTGCAGCCATTTTAAATGGTTTTCATGAAGTTCACTGATGAGATTTCCCTTGAGATGATCAGAAAGTGGAAATGAGCCCGCTGTGGTATTGGATCCTGTCAATGAACCTAAAGGTTCATTAAAGGTTGGGTTTGGATAGGATCTTGAATCCAAATTCTTGTGTTCACATCCAAATGGTTTTGAATTTGAAATCTCAGGTTTCAGGCCATCTTTTCTGCTTTAAGCTAAATAATATGAAAGCTAAATAGCGTAAACAGCTCAGAAGGGAAAGGCAGGGAGGAACAGAGGGGTTCCCGAAGCCAAAGTCTCAGCTTTACCAGCACAGGTTTCGCTCTCCTTCCCTGAGCTATATCAAGAGACTGCAGTCTCTCTTATCTAGGCTGTATCCAGGCTATATCCAAATCGGCAGGTTCCTGAGGACTGAAACTAATGCTGCATGACAGTGCAGATCCGTTTCCTTCATTAAATTTACAACAGGGGTCTTTTTTTTTTTTTCCTTTTCTTCTTTTTTCCTCTTTTTTTTTTCCTTTTTGTAAATCTTTTAATCTCATCATGTTTCTTGTGCAAACAAAATGCCATAGTGAAATTTTGGGTTTATGACTGAAGGATAAAATTGGGAAAAAAAAATCTCAGTGTTGATTTCAGAAAACTTGTCATGCACTGAGTGAAGGGAATATTTGTCAGAAAATAAGATTTAAAGTTTTCCAAAAATGATCAGCAATATACTGTATCAGACTACAGTGTCACATCTTAGTTCTGTGTTTTTCAATGGAGACCTTTTAAAGATTAACAAATTCTTTCATTAGAAATATCCAGGAGAGTTGACTTTGCTTTGGTTTTTGCTAATACTGTCCAACAAAATAACACCCCAAGAATATTTCTGGGATGGAGACATATCCTTATGAAATCAGGCCTGAATCTACCCCATTCGATATTGCCTCTGGTGCTGCCCATTCCAAGGCACTCTTTGGCTGTAAAAACTCCGCAGTCAACGTATATATACAATAACCCTCGCTTGCGTTAGATCCCTTCTAATTAGAGAATGGCTTTAACCCTGAAGCAGTAGGTTGAGATATCCCTTTCAATAAAATGGGTTTAGTTATTCATTATGTGAGAAGAAAAACCAATAAAATTGTGCTGGGAGCCAGAATAGAGAATATTTTCTGTAAACTAGTTTTTGTATTTGTTTTTTTTCTTTTATTGTTAGAAGGGGAAACTACTCACCTTTGCAAAAGTCTGACTTGCTGATGAGGGCACGTAGAGAGAGCTTTACTGTTACTGCAGAGGATCAAAGTTATGCAAAGCATGTGACCTTTGCTGGCCTTGAGGCATGATGCCTTCTTTGCATATCCCTGAAATAGTCATGGTTTATTACTACAGTGTTGCTTCCTCTGTTTCTGTGGTTCATTCTGTGTGACAATTTATTGACAATACAAAATGAGGGGTATAGCTTCCCGGTAGATCCATTCGTGCAACCTGTACATACTGACGATGTGCATGCCCATCGTGCCATACTGATTGCAATGGCTGTCGCTAGCGTTTCTGGGCACTTCTCCTCTTCCCGCCCCGTCACGTCTTCCTTCCTCACTGTGGTTTTTCCCTGTAGGCCGATCTCCGCTCCAAAGACGATACGCTGACCCTGTCTCCCAGCAAGGACTTGCTGAGCGTGAGAAAGCCTTCAGTGGGGCGTACCCACTCTTTGCCAAATGACAGCTACATGTTCCAGCCGCCGTACTCCAGCCCCTGCCCTGCCTCCCTGGGCGAGAGGAATCCGGCACATCACAAGTCTCAGTCAGGTACACATCTGTCAGCTGGGACAAGAACGGGATTTTCCAACGTAGCAGAAGCTGGGATTTTCCAAGCTATTCAGAAGGAGGCAGCAAATTGCCTTCGGTTTGCAGCGAGGTGCTGGCGTCCAGACCTGTGGAATGGTTTTGCAAAGCCCCTCCACAACTTACAAAGTCCAGGCTCTTAAAGATAACTCCTTTCCTCTGAACTTTTTGGCAACGTGACAGCGAGCAGTTGGCCTGCCTCAATGCTGATTGTCCCCCTGCCTGGTTCCCCAAGGGTTACAGTCCCTACAGCCTGGGCTCCATCCATCTCACCTGAGCTAGCTATGGCCCCAGAGCAAAAATCCCAGCAGAAAAATATTTCCTCGTGTCTGTTTTTTTGCAGCAGTACCTATTCTAGCAGGTTTTGGAAACTCTATATGGGAACATCTGTGAAAGAAGGGAAAATGGTGCCTCTAAATGCCTGTAAAATGAACATAAATGTGCTGAAGTGAGAGAGATCTCAGTGTGAGATGAATGGAAAGATGAGAGAGTGTAGAATTGCCCTTCCCAGTGTGCATGGTTGGGATATACGCCTTAGCGCTAAATTCAGAGATATTCTTAGATACAGCGTATTGCAGATACCAAGGGCTCTCTCTCTACCTGCACCTCTGTACCTGTACTTGCAGCTGCCTCCCGGTGCTTATCAATGTGCTTTCATTTACTCTGTCTGCTAAGGGTTACCTTCTGCTGGTAAGTGAACGTAGCTGTCTTTAATTCTTCTGTACATGCCATCATTTTAGACATTTGTCACAGATAAGACAGAGAAGTTTTTACAAGCATTGTCATTTGAAAGCCTCTAAGCAGAACATAATTTCAGCACCGTTCAGAATGGTAGGAGATTTGAACAGATTAGAAATAAGATGTTGAAATTTGCATAGTAATAAGAATTTGGATGAATAGCGACTGTTCAACAGCAGAAAAAAAATGTGGACACAACGGAGTAAGATGAATCTGGAGTTGTGAGAAATCACTGCCATAATACAAAATTTTCAAGGTCAAGAGCTGTCCTCTGAAGAACCTGTTTGCACATAATGCAAAAGGTGCAGCTAAAATTCCGGCCAAATCCCACTGAAGTCAATAGCAAAACTCCCATTACCTTCAGTGGAGCCAGAATTTATGGTGTGCTCTAACAGCCAACAAAATTCCTTGTAGTTATAATCCCTGGCCATATGAAAGAATCCCATTTGCTACAGAGGGAGTTTCCAGTGCTGCATTTTTGGCCCTTAATTCGGATGAGTTTGTCCTGTCTTGAACAAAAACCACGTCAACATGACCAAAAAGTGGGTAGTTTCTGAGTACCTTCTTTCTTCAAGATTGCACTTCCAGCTTGGAGAACTGAATAGCCCCATCTGACAGCCCTGGCTTGGGGAGGGGCAGGCATTGCACCCTTGTAAATCCACAGGAAAAACTGTTCCACTGAGATGTAGGAGAAGTATTTTGGAAAGGTAAAGCTGATGTCTTATTCATAACCACATTAAGCAATTAAACCTTTTGTGTTTTTCTCCTGCTGGTGAAATTCCAATCGTCTTAAGCGGGCCAAAGTGCTCAGAGGTGGGTAAGGTGCCCAAATCTTGGCATATGCATTGTTGTCCTGTTCCACCTACAATGTCACTGCTTTTCAGGGTGGGGGAAGTCACCCCTACCTGTTTACAGTTTGTAATATTATAAAGTGCTGTGAAGATAGCAAAAGGTGCCAGGCGCCTCTAATAAATCACCACAACTAAGCCATAATATTTCAAGCTGAGAAAGGTTTTGTTGTCAGAAACACTGGCACTTGCAGGAGGTATTTGTTTGAATACTCCTTCGTAATGGGGCTGTTGTTCTGGGAAAGATTCCAGGACAAATGAGATTCTCTGGGATGCGGTCCAGGTTAAATGAATTGTTTTGAAAAATGTTGGGGCTGTGGGGGGGGAGCATGCAGAGTTTCAAACCCTTTAGAAGAAGTAGCCAGCAACCACAAAGGGTCACAAAGAGGCTGGAGAGTATGTGTCTCCTTCTCCTGGGATGCTTTGTAAAACTAGCCTTGAAAGCTGCCAGGTGCCATTCCCTTTCGCTTCATTTCCAACGTGCGGTTTTGAGATCCCAGCAGTCAGTCTCAGCATACGATCAGGTATGGAGACATCCTTTTCTAGAGTCTTTCAAAGTCAGATCCTTGCGGTGCTAGATGTATGGTTGCCTGCAAAGTTATTGGCCATAAAGCAGGGGTGTAGAAATTGCCAGTCCAGATGAACTTCTAGTTCATAGTCTTCTGCTCTTAACAGAAGCTAGTCCCAGTTCTAGCAGGGAAAAATGCCAAGAAAAATGAAATAATAGACAATTTTGGAATAATTTATTAGTAGATGAGAGATTTTTCCCAATCATGGATAGCTAGTTGCTAAATTCAGTGGTTTTGCCATGCCTGTCTGGTCCAAGGTGCAACAGAGCAGCTTTCTCTGAAAGGTCATTGAGATTGGGAGGCAATCCCCAGATGAACATGTCACATTTCTGTCTCTTCTCCCTCTTGCAAGGTTCAAAGGCATCGGTGCAGTCGCAGCCGGCGGACACCAGCTCTCTCCTGCAAATTCCAAAAGACCATTTTCACCACGTAAAACCTCTTGACCATTTGGTGAGGGAGAGCAAACCTCGGGTTTCCCAGCAGGTGCACTCTCCTTCTGCTGAAAGGCTGCTCCGCAGACAGGTAAGCAGACTTATGATCATGAACCTGCTGAGGTTTTATATTGTCCTGTTTCCAGGTTAATCATGCTTTAAATTCAAGGAGGGATTCACAGAGAAACCTCCAGAGAACTGTAACTCTTCTACAGAAATAACAAAAAGGTTGATGGATTTTGATCTGAAAGCTATCCAGGAGTCTCCAAAGAATGTGCGTGATGAGTATCATGTCCTTTGGCAACATGCCTAAATGTTCTCCACGTTGTTAGCACTTTATTTTTTTCAGTCCTCTTCATAAATGCAGCCAAATGCTCCCCAGGGGCTTGTTGGGGTTAAGGAACTAATTCTTAACTGCTGTGATTTTCTCAGTGCTTGAAAGGACACAGGGACTGCAGGCTCCATCCCAGGCCATGCTTCCTCTGGCTCCTCTCGTTTCTCGAAAGGGGAAAACTGTTTAAAGGAAGCTGGATATCTCATCCACAAAACCATCATGGAAAGCATACTGTTTTTACAGTGAGAACTGAAAATTAAGATCCTTTTGAATCTCCTGTCTGCTTTTGAAAAGTTTGAGTATATGCAAAACAGAACACATATTATTTTGCAACTGGTTTTATCCCTGGTTTTTGCCTGGCATTGATTTAAATCCTGATTCAACCAAAGATCTGAGAGATCTAATCAAAGATTCCAGTCTGGTTGATTGGAAGCATAAGTTTAAATTTATCTTTTTTAGTCAAATAATTACACTTGTGCTTCACTCTCACATTTTTAAGCATTTTTCATCGTGCAGCTGGACCAGGACCAGAGGCATGTCTGATTCCCAAACTCTGCTTTCTTCAGTAGTTTCAGGCCTGATTTTATATACACAAAATAGATCAGTTCTATTTTTTCAAAAGCAATTTCTTTCCTTCATTAAAATATTCCCATTTCTTTCATCTTTTAATCAACATTGACAAATTAGACAGTTGATTCATTAAGCTCTAAAAACGAATGTGAAGTACCAAGGTTAACAATTACATTAGTCTGTAATACTAAATTGACATAAGAAATTCCTAGCATGTATTCGTTTGCACAGGGCTGGCCAGCTACCCCAATCACTGCTAATGGGGAAACTAATTGATGTCATGATTCCAGTTCATAACCACTCTCTCTTGGTTCCTAATGAATAACAGACCCATCTTTTTGAACTGATCTATCTAGAATAAATTACCATGTTAGTCATCTTCCTCAGCCTAATTTTGTTCATGTTTTTGAAGGCTTCTTTTTCTAAACCTTGTCATACGTTTAAGTTAATTTATTCCCCTCCCTCCTCTCTCTGCTCATGCAGTGACATGAGCATGCTCTTGGAGTGACATTTCAGAGAGAAAAAAGCTTTGGGACAGTGAGCAGTTATGGTCCACGGACCAGACAGATCCCTGCGAAGGTTAGTGAGGTGCTGCCTTAGGCACGCTCCCAAGTAGCAAGCAGCTCCCAGTGTGGCTAATGGGAGCGGTAAGGTTGTTCCTGGCAACAGGGCAGTATTGCTGTTACTGTTAATTGCAATCTAGATGGCCAGGCACTGTGAACGTCAGTCCTTAAAGAGGCAAAATTCCCTTTACACTCCCGACACTTCTGCTTGCTCAAGTGCTCTCTGCTTGGCTCCTTTTATTTCCACCACTAATTTGTTACTAGCACATCACAATAGCCCAAACTAGCAAAGCATTTTGGTTTGTAGTACCCATTTTTCCTTACTGATACATATATTGCATGTAATTCTGATTTGTTTTCTTTTCTTTCTTTCCTTTCCCTCCCCCCTTGTCCCCTCTCCTTTCCTAAATTTGTGTATAGATAAATCTTGTTCACCACATACCTGGTCCATGCACTTTCCTCCATCATTAAAACCTGTGTGTTTAACTTCCCTCCCCCTCCAGAGTGCTGGAGAGTGAACACAGTCCCCACAGTAACATGCAGTTTAGACTCCGGAAAGTTTGACAATTAGTGATGCACTCGCAGATGAAGATGAGTGGATCGGATGCTTTGAGAGGACATTCCCTGCTGAGGATACTCTCCTTGGCAGTGCATTGCACAAAAGCTTTTCTCCAGGGGAATTCTCCCTGAAATTAAACCTATATTGATTTTCTGGTTCGAGGACTGTGTATCCAAGGTGTAGCCCACACCGAGCTGTGGCTACTACAGATGTACACCCCAATGGGATGGCAGAGGGTCCTTTTATTTTGGAACAAACCAGTAAAACATTTGTACAAACAGTTACTACTAACAACTACCAAAGATGCCTGTATCGTAGGGAAAGAAAGAGCTGGTGGTGACTAATGTTGTCGTTGTGTGCAACACAGGTTAGTGTACAAGCAAAAGTAATGACAATAATTACTTTTTGCTACTGTATTCTATTTTTTTGTGGTCTGTGTCTCTTCTCAGGGTATGAACATGATTTTTTTCTCCCAAACGCTCACTAAAACTATTGGCATTAAAGAGACCAGAGTTAGCTCCACTCTTGACTGTGGTTAGTTGCCAGTATTATGCTGTAAAATTTTAACTAGAAAGGATTCACGAGCATTGGACAAAATCATCTGCCATATTAAATATTCTCTCAACTCTCACAAATGACAAAGGGAGCCCAATGTGCAGATGTAGCAATAGACTCTTGTGTTTCTGCGCGCACACATGTGCGTACTGCAGCTGATGAGAGCTTTGCCTGAATAGAGATCATTTGGCTCAAATGATCCTTGCGGGACAATTTTTATATAAATTCTAAGATCATTTTGTGGCAATTCATCACAAAAGCATTCCTTAGTATGAGGAATTTCATCTCCTTACACTTCTCTAAAGGACTGAGACCAGCTGTACGCGTTTCCTCCGCATTTCTCTGTGAAGTTTTTAATCTTTAAGATCATTTAAGAGTCTTCTCAAACTGAGATTCTCCCTTTAAGGGCCAGTTAACGTGGCTGATTTGTAAACCCTTTTGACAAGGGGATGCAGTGCAGTGAAAAGACAAAGCCTTCAAAACATGCCATGGGTTCTCTCTGCCAGCAGGCACTGATGCCGCATACGGCTCAAGACAGCCAAGGCAAGATGTGCCTTAGGAAGCCTGAACTCAAGCATCAGAATAAGTTGAAATAATTACAGATTATTATTATTATTAGTCCAGCTTTGGACTCGAGCTTTTCCAGCTCCCCTGCTGTAAGATGGTGCAGAGTCGTGGCTCCAGCCCGTGGACCAAAGCCAGGGACAGGCTGTTGCCCTGATGCTGGCGCGGAGCGTGGTCGCTCTAGCGTCGCTGGCTCTGGGGGTCCTGCTCCATGCCCTCAGCATTGCCTGAGCTAGAGAAGGGAATACACGGCCTCACTTGCACATCTTCCTTCTCCCGCTCGTACCTGGGCTGCTAAAATTATAAAGGGCTTTGCTGTAGACCCTCATCCTTCATGTAACAGGAATATGTCTAAGTCTGGGTGAGGGCATTCTGGTTTTGCAGCCCTCCATCCTTAGAGAAGAAAGCTAAAGGCCAACCATTTAGGAAGAATGAAGGGCCAAATTCTGCTGTCACTTACACAGGGACAAACCCGCAGATCTCTGAAGCATGGGAATTGCTAGAACCCACACCACCAGGCCATTATAGGAATCAGTGGGTCTGCACTGAGGTATCTCAGCAGAGTTGAGTGCCCTGTAAATGCTGTGCCTTGCTTGTACTAACTTTTGTTTGGTCTGTCTCTCTCATCTGGCAACTCCCCTCCTCCCCGATCCCTTTGCGCTCCAATACAGATGGCTATACGGAACGACTCTTTGGATAGCAAGGAGAATCTCCACACCGAGGTGAGTGAACTTTCTGACCCAAATGTCCCCGCTGTGCCCACGGAGGAGTCATCAGTGGCTCTGACACCCTCAGAAGCGAATGAGTTGGCTGCATGGAGCCGGGCAAGCGTTCATACGCAGCAGCATTCCCACAATCAGTATAATATTTCAAAGCAGGCACCAGCATCGTGTGCTTGTGCAGACTCGTATCAGGAGACACCTGGAGATTCAATGGACCAAGAAGTATCTGAAACAAACAGCTCCTCAGAGCCTTTCACTTCAGAAACTTGTACAGCCTCGAGTGCCTGTTCAGAGGTTCAGCCTCTCACTCCTAAGAGGAACATAGGCAATACTGGCAACGTTACATTGAAGGACCTGAAGAAATACCACAGTGTAGACACCCAGGGTCTTCTAAAAAAACCGCCCTCTTGGTTAGATGATCAAAGGAGACATTCAATAGAAATTTGTTCAATGGAAAACAGCCCTCAGCACCACTCCACATCTAGCTCTTCTGGCTTCATAAGTCAGGTGGTAAGTGAAATGGAAGGCTTGCAAGGAACACGGCAGAAGAAAAAACTGAGTCCTCCATGCATATCTATAGATCCACCCGATGGACAGAGTTTGCTACCTAGAGGACCTCACAGCATCTCACCTGCCAGTGGAGACGTTTGCTTGAGACGGCGTGCTCCATCTTGTGAGTCCAAGGATTCGATGGATATAGGGGATTCGTTGCTTCCAGACAGTATGTCAACATCTCCTACCCCAAAGAAAGACTTGTTGACACTTCCTAGCTTTTCCTTTGATCAAACGGAAATGGACCCCTGAGTTACTTTTCTGTTGGTGCCAAATGTTTTCTTCCTTTCATGTAATAGAAAAAAAAAAAAATTAAAAAACTCTGTATTCCAAAATGGCACTGGGTAAAAAATTTCCAAAGAAAGATTAAAGAACCAGCTGGTTAAAAGAGTGGTTAACCTATATCACGCTTACTTAAGCATATGTTCTGCTTAGGTAAAAGCAATACAATGTGCAGAATCTATATGTATATTATATTTTATTAAATTAATTGACTCTAGTATTGCGGGATGTAGTACATTTTGTGACTAAAGACTCGTTTAATTTTCTTCTATTTTATGTATCTCAGAATATTTCTGAGATAAAGTTGGTTTTTATGAATATTTTAACCTAAAAAATATATATTTAATCCCTTCTCTTTTTTTTTGTTTTGTTTTGTTTGGGTTTCATTTTGTTTTGCAAAGCACAAAATGTAGCCAATTAGTGCATTACAGAGGAAATGTATCCCACAGTCAGCAGTAAATAAGGATTATTTAATGTAATTTATTTTTCCCCTTGGACTTCAATGATATTCTGGGAAAAAAGATTGTTTGGGTAGTAGAGAAATGCAGTGGCAGTTTTTTAACAAAATAATATTCCAATCTTGCATAAAATCGACATCCAGAGTGAAAGCAAGTGCACAACCCAGGAAGGTACAACATGCTGATAGATGTCTGAAGATGGTGAATGTAGAGCCATTTAACTGTACACAATACTGAATTATGAAAGGATATTATAGATCATCCACTGGTGACTCACAAAATCATGTCAACGGCTAATTTTCATACGTGCCTAGGAAACTGAGGCAACAAAAGCCTGTGGTCACCTCTGAGATGTTTTTCTAGTGTCTCCGAGACAGACTGTTTCTTCTGCTGAGTTTTACACCTCTGTAAATCCACTGTTTGCAGTGGAGCTCCTCCTTTCTGCGCCCGTGTGGAAAGTAAGAGAGTAAGGCCATGTTTAAGATTTGCAGTGGGTGAATTCAGTGGAGACATGACACAGCAATGGGCTTAAGCACATGTTTAAAGTTAAGCTCTTGCTTAAACTGCCTTGAGGTTGATCGTATTTAAGTAATTCTTGAAAATTAAAATCATATGCTTATGTGTTCGACAGAATCAAGGCCTACTGCAAGTTATTTTACAGAATACATGTGAGAAAGTCTGTAGGTACTGAAATGACTGTTGATTTTCGGTTTAAAAAGTCAGGTTTTTGCTATCACTGCTAGAGTTAATTTACATCACCCTGACTGTAATTTTATTTCCAATCTACAAAAAGCCTTAAGCAGCAACATCATTATACAGAGTAAATCAAAATGGAATTCATGTCCTTACTTTATAACATGTCCTTAATGTCAGTCATCTCAGAAATTAACTGTTTACTTCTGTGCTAACGCCCTCTGCAAAAAGCAGTCTGTATAACTGGACAGCACAGCCTGAAAATCAAGAAAGATTGGCCCGGTTTGACACCTCCCGCTCTTCACAAGACTGATGGAAACCAGACGTTAACTTCACTCAACCTCCATGAAATCACATTAAGATGTAGGCTAAATAAGACTCTGCAGGCATGGTTGGAAGTGTGCGAATAGTCACAGGTTTAAAACTGCGTACATGGATAAGGCTTTGCTGGATCATGTCTTTAAACCAGCACAGGCAAGAGGAGGATTTGTGCTAATTCTGTCAGTCAGGAGTTTGTAACTTTTTGAGAACTACTGATCTTTTCAAATCACTACAACATGCTGATGTACAGCCTTTTATCTGTTCAGAGATTAGACTGTTACGACTACATGTATCTGCATTAGCTTCCAAGTATACATACAAGAAGACGCTGTTCATACCTAACAGCCTATGCGAGGTCTTAAGCTCCTTTATTTTCACTCGAGGACATTTACTCCATAAACAATCCCTATTGATTTACATGTCCTGGAGAAATGTAAGGGCTTTCAGCAGGAAGTCAGGCAATCAGTGTATTTGAAGTAGGAGGATTAACATTCTGTACTATTTACTGCAGTTAGATTAACTCTTGGCTGGGACATTTTTCCCCTCTTCAACATGGGCCCATATGGAGACCGCTTTCTTTGATATGCCAGTCCAAATCCAGAGTTAAGCCCGTTTAAAGCAATGATTTCAAACAAACCTTTCATCAGTTCTTCCCCCAGATCATATTTAAGGAAATAATAAAATTACAGTGTATTAAGCCTGAGAAATATTCTTAATCCCTTTTTGGTTTTACACTCATAATGAGCCTTAGCCTTTCCTTTCACATGTACTAAATAATTTGGGAAAATAGCTAGGCCACTAAAATTGCTGACCCTGGTTCCTTAATGATTAGGATTGTGTTTGCATAGCTGGAGTGATACTACTCATACAGTTCCTTCCTTACAAAAAAACCCATGGAACATTGTAGCTTGAAATCGTGGCACAAAACAGTGTTGTGATGTGAATCCAAATGCTCAGCTCCAAATGTAACAGAACGCCTAAAGGCTCTTCTATTTTCAATACCAGGGGTTTTGCCCACTGACAAGGCTTGTGGAAGTAAGAAAAAGTTTACATCCTATATGAATATTCAGTAAAGACTAACCAATAAAAAATACTCTATGATGATGCATTCAGGAAAAGAAATCCATGTAAAATAGTTTGTTTTCTAAACCAGATAAGTCTTTTCTAGATGCCCTTTTGAAAGACAAATACAAATGTACTGCAGTGTGTGCAATAATCTTAAGATAATTTTAAATACCTTTGGGGGGGTTTTATAGAATTTGACTTTTTTTAAACAAAATGTACAAAATCCACAGGAATTCTGTAGAATGGTTATGTTGATAGAATTTTTTATATTTTTGTAGAAATCTGTAGAGAAATTGTTAAAAGTCTGCGTAGCATCTTGGGAACAGAAGCAGCTCTTATCTACAAGTTTCTTTTCATAAGCCTGGAGCCAGACCTACTGTATTACAACATGTATAGCCTAGTTTCAGAGCCTGCATCCAGGTCGCATTTAGAAGCAAGCAGCTAAGCTCAAGTTCTACGATATTGCAGTGCTATTACTGTTCGAGAACTGTACCCCTATAAAACATCTACCCCCAAAACTCAGCCCCTATCGATGGTAAAGTAGTCGCATGGCTATCCAGTTCATTCAAGCACACCAGCACTTTACTACTGTGGATTTACTGTATACAGGTTGGAGGAGGATATTCTGCTATTGCCAGTCTGACACATGAGGAAAAAGAGATTGCAGATGTGTCTGGAAAAATGTCAATTCCATTCTTGCAGCCCCTCGCACATAGAACTGATTTTTCATAGCTTGGTTACAGGCCGTTTATACTGTAGATAATTTGGAGGAGGGCAAAGAAAACACTGTTTTTTACTTCTGTGGATTGCACTCAGCACAAGGTGTATTCAAGGAGAAACAAAAGAAAGAAAAAATAAAAGGAAAACTAAAGCGTTACCATTGTAAATTAGGCTATGCCCCAGTCTCCCCTTTTCTGCCCCTTTGGCTATAATAACCCATGTACACTATTACACAAGGTGACTAGAGTAGGCACAGTACCATTGCAATGTCCGTAACAACCTAGTATATATTCTAGAACTTTGTATTTAATAGTTAATATATTGTTATACTGTATCAGGTATATAGGCCAAAACAAGGTCTTTTGGTCAGGGCAACAAAAGGTGGTATTCATGGGGAAAATTGGGTTAAAATGTTCCTTTTTAAAAAAAAGAAAAAAAACCACAACAAAAAATGAGTGTAAATCTTTACAAATGACAAAAACAAATGTGTCCTATTAAAAGCTTTTGAAAAGAAAACAACTGTGCACTTCCCTTTTTTGTTGTTGCTGATGATAATCTGTATCATTCAGAGCGGTCAAATCTTTGGTCATGTTTTAACTGCGAACAGTTGGAGTAGGTATATTGCATAGCAGCAGCGGCCGGGGAGTTGAAAGAAAGATTGTGAAATGTCGGCCCTTTGTGAAGCAATTCGGTTTGACACCGCAAGCGAGTCTGGCCCAGCGCATCTCCCAGGGCGTGCTGTTTTACCAGCGAGACCGTCGGCTGTGTTCCTACGGATCGCACTGCGCTGGCAGAGCCCAGCTCGGCAAGTCGCTCAAGGATGAGAAGGCTGCCGGGACGGCAACGGCGAGAGCTGCAGCCAAAGGGGAGAAAGGAGTCAGGAGAAGGGACAGGTTTGATCTTTCCATGAAAACACGTTGCCGCAAAGAGGAAGATGCTGGGCTTTTCCACGCATTCACACTTCAGGATTTCCAGCCTGAAGTACAGCAGCCTCTTCTCCATCGCTTCTGCGGTCATTTAGCTCGTTGCAAAGCAGGAGTTGGCAGGGATGGTGCCGCTCCGGGAGCTGCAGGCTGCGTGCTGCAGGGCAGCGGGGGCTCAGACCCCTGATGCTGCTTAGATACTACCAAGAAACATTTGAACCTTGAACTCTTCAGGGGTCTTTAGTGAATGAGTTAATTAGCTCCTAAGGTGAAGGCTCCTCTCCTCTGGAGAGCAGCCACTAGAGGAAGGAAGCAGGCACTTAGGTGCTCCGCAGCCCTCTTTCTCACTTTGGCTTGAATGACTTGATGACCGCTCTGTAGCAGAAGGGACCCTAAACTGACACCCAGAGTGGTTGTGTTGTCTAGAGGGGATTTTGATAAAGGCCTTCTCACAGTCGTCTCTGAGTAGAAAACAGCCGGAAGGAAGTTAGCCCTTAAACAGAGGGAAAATGTAGATCTGTGCAAAATCCCATGCAAATCCATGCAGAGCAGGACTCAAGGGGGGAGACCTGTGATGCATCTGCAGGGCCAAACCCCTCAGGCTGGAACCACTGAAGTGCCTTCCCACCCCTCCCAGGCTGGAGGATCCACATGGCATTAAAGTAAGCCGGGCTCAGCCAAGAAAGCAGAGCAGTTCACAGGTTCAAGCACTTCACACCTCTCTGCACACAGGTGAGTTTAGCCCTGTGGTTGTTCCTTATAGAGAATGTCAAATCCCTCTATTTCCAGTGCTGGGTTTCAGAGGAGTTTGGGAAGGGGGTTGTTTTTCTGCTCTGTTTTGTGAGTGTTCCTGTATGAGGCTCTTTTGCTGAGTTTTGCTTGTGGTTTTTAGAAGGCTCCCACCCAGGCTGGCTGCT